TGTTTTAACACTGTGGGAATTAAGATTTTGAATCTTTGGATCTCCTGCCAGTTGGCTTTTCAATACTGTTTACTGACTCAGAATACAAAAATCAGAGATTTCCTTTTGATTTTGAACAGCTGTAGAAAGTGTTTGATCTAATGAGCAGACAGGAGTTTTTTTGTGCGTCTGTGTCATGAAACACTGTAGCATGGCAGATGTGCAGCCTGATGCAATTTTGAGCTCATATGTTGGGCCTCTGATATGCCTGCTGCAAAAGAGCAGGCTGAGCAGGCATCCCAAAGGCTGGGCACTTCCAGGACTAACTGCAAATAAGGCCGTGAGCATCAGTGCCATTCCAGAAGGCTGTAGTGGAAGACTGGGGAGTTTAAGGCTACTCCCTCTGTGCCTTCTTGATAAATCCTCACTGATTTATCCCAATCTCCTCAGTAAAGGGATGAGAGTTTTGTAGAAACAAAGAAAATCAGCAGTGAAATATCTTTTCTGTCTCAAGGAGAGGAGTAAAAACATACTCTGTCATTACTGACTGTTACAGGAGGGTTACTACGGTCATCAGAATTCGCAGCCCTTTGGGAAATGGATGGCCTGTGCTTGGGAAGAGACAGGACTTCTGAAGCACAAGGCGAAGCAGCACAGAGTTGTGGTTTAAGAGCAGCCTTGGGGTTGCCTTAAAACCAAGGCAAAGCTTTAATAACAAGGCCAGGCAACAGAGAGGAAGAACCGATTGAGTGCCTAAACTCTGTTTCTTTGGAGTCATAGTCATCTTAACCAGGAGCAGAAAGATCAGAAGCCTGGCTAAAACACTGAAAGAAGAGAAATAGGATAAGAAGAGGGAGAGACAAGGGTGGTTGCATAACTGCAGTCAAATAGTTGCTTGGTTTATGGTAAGTTATGTTTCTCTATGATGCATTTCTGCATTAAAAGTGAGTATCTTAACCTTATGCTCAGCTCTCCCAGAGAAACCACAGAAAGAAGAACTCATGCTATCTTAGGCACCATGAAACTCAGTTCATGGAACCACAGAATCAGAATCCTCAGATTTGGAAGGGATCTTTACAGGCCATCTAGTTCAACTCCCCCAACACAAATAAATCAGGTTGCCTAGGGCCTGATCCAGCCTTGAAAGCATCCAGAGATGGGGAATCAACCACATCTCTAGGCAGTTTGTTCCAGTGCTTCACCATCCTCACTGTAGAAGACTTTTTCCTTATATCCAACCTAAATCTCCCCTCTTTGAGCGTGAAGCCATTTTCCCTTGTTCTGTCACCACAGATCCTGCTAAAGAGTCTGTCCCCTTCTTTCTTATACCCCTCTTTAGATACTGAAAGACTGCTATAAAGTCACCTTGGAGCCTTCCCTTCTCCAGGCTGCACAGCCCAGCTGTCAGCCTGTCCTCACAGGGAGGTGTTCCATCCCCGGGCTCATTTTTGCAGCCCTCCTCTGCACATCTCCAGCAGCTCCATGTCTCTCCTGTACTGAGCACTGCCCATCTGGACGCAGTGCTCCAGGTGAGGTCTCACAGCACAGAGCAGAGAGGCAGATCCCCTCCCTCACCCTGCTGGCCACGCTTCTTTTGATGCAGCCCAGGATGCGGTTGGCTCTCTGGGCTGTGAGGGCACAGTGCTGGCTCGTGTCCAGCTGCCATCCATCAGTACCCCAGGTCTTTTTCAGCAGGGCTGTACTCAATCCTTTCATCCCCCAGCTTGTATTGGTAGAAGCAGGAGTGAGCAGGCCAGGAATTCATGCAGAGTGGCACATGGGTTTTCCTCTTTTTTTCTTTTTCCAGACGCTTTATTAGATTAGAGAGTTTTGACAGAGGGCTGAGAAGAACAAGTTACCACAGACAAACAAACAATTTCTGGTGCTCATCTGTCTTCAACAACTGATCCAGACCTGCAGGAAAACCACCTCTCATCTGCACAGCCAGGATCCACCTGGACTGGTAACAAGTGGGAATTAGCTGAGGGCAAAGCTTTCCTGATTTAGATCACTGCTTCAGCTTCTGGCTTTGCAGGAAGGAAACAGAAGAGAGTCATTCTGGGTCCCGTTTACCTGTACTGGGTCACTATTTACGAATGAATCTCTTCATGCTCACAAGCAGGCTGCAAAGTATTAAAGAGGGATGCAAATTGATTGAGCCCCCAGGCTCCCACTGTGCACTCTATGATACTAAGCCACTAATGGCCTATAGAGATAACGTATGCACAAATCAAGAACTGTGCTCAGACACTGAATGGCTGAGCTGCTGAGCCCCAAGCTGTTACTGGTGAAAAATAAATTTTGCAGCAAGAAAAGGAGACAACTCAAAAAAAAAAAAAAAAAAAAAAGGCTGGGACAAGAGGAAGGCAAAAAGCTGCTAGAGCAGTAGATGAGCAGCAGATGTTGATGGCTAGATATCAAGGGGCATCTTGAGGGTATCAAAGCAAGAATTTCATTACAATCATCTCCATCATAAGAGAGAGATACTCAAGCAATTACTTAAGGAGGGCAATCAAATGAAAATTATCTATTTCCAAACTTGAGATACATTACAATAAAAAGATTGTAAATGCACGTGAAAAAACTGCCACCACTGCAGAGCTACTTAAAATGAGAATTACAATAATAACCAATCTTCCTGCTTTCAGAAACAAAGCAGGGATGGGCTAAGGTTAGAAAGAAATGCTGTGGATTTTTATATGTAAGAAAGAAAAGTCCTCTCTGTTGAAATAAGCTTGGTGAGCCAGAAGAGACATGGTAGAGAAAGGAGGAGTTGTCTCAAATACTTGGAATCCCTGTTTGCCCCAAAGTTTTAAGACTTTGCAAGGTATAGCCTCTATCTACACAACAGCTTGGGAAACAGCATGTTTAACCACCCTAACAAAGAAGTAATGGACATTTTCTCCTTATTGCTGTTCAGGTGCTTGCCTCAGACAGCTTCCCACACTACTTCCTATGCCAGCTTATTCTTCTGCCTTTTGCCCTTCCCTCTCTTTTCCACACTTAAATTCCACAATTCTTTTCCATTTTTCCTTTTACCTCACTTTCTAACCTGCTAGCATCTCCACCCATGACCAAAATCCGTCTCTTTTTCGAGGTGACAATTCTCAACCTTTCCATTTGGCAGAATTATCATATTTAACCCCTTGCTAGGATATCGTGGTCTTTGAAAAAGGGATTGGGCCTTTCTGTTTACAGAGTGTCTGAGCAGGCCTTACGATTGCCACAGTAATGCAGAGGTGTGGTAACTCTGTGCCTACTGAAAGCTGATTATACTTATTTTATAAAAAACACCTCGTTTTATTTGCAGCTTAGCTGCAGCATTTTGTAGGAAAGAGCGAGACTATTGATTTGCATCAATCTTCCTTTCTGCAACTTGAAAGAGAGGGCAAATGCCTCATGCCTGGCTGCTGGCCAGAGCTTACGAAACATCCGAGATCTGAAAGTAGCAACAGCTTCTTCCTTTTACTCACATATGCAGCCCCTCGTGGTAGCTTACCTCTTAAACTAAAAAGCTTTCCCAACCTATGCTGGCCAAAGGTCATTTCATTCACTCAGCAGAAGAGTCAGTTCATCTTTGTATGGTTTCAAATTCTTGGTATTTCAGAAAACTATAGGCAGCAGTATGGGACTAGCTTTATCCTCAAGTTACTGCCTAGGGATCAAGCCCAGATGTCAGTTTTGACAGAACACAGTCTGTCAAAAATACATAATTAATGCTGGTGCATATGCAGAGATACTTATAGAGTGACTACCTATTTTCTTTTCAAATCAGCAAAACTTTGTTAGTGAAAATGTGTGAATTTTATTCAGTAGAAACTCATTAAACTCTGGAGATGTAAAACAATTATCTCACTACTTGCAGCTCTCAAGAAATCTGTAGAAAGAACTCAGGAATGGAGCAGACACCAGATGAGCAAATCTCTCAGAAACTGGAGGTCTGTGATCTTCTGACAAAAACACTACAGTGAGCTCTTCTACTAAGATGGTAACAGTGCATTCTGAAAATAGTAGCTTAAAGAAAAGGCTTAGAGAGCTTATTCTGTAAAGAAGAAGAATGTAGGGATGTACATACTGAGAGAAAGACTTCAACAAAGCCAAACTCACTTCAGTGGCCTCAGCCATGTTCTGGATTTTGCTTTGCCAATTGCTGCCAAGTATAGGGTTTTGGAAGTCAAAAATTACTGACATCACTAAGAACATTATATGGAAACCTATCTCAGCTGTCTGGAAGTTACTAGACACACATAAAACTCTCTAATAACATTTCTTCAGTAAATTACAGCTATCTACCAAGAGTATCTATCACTAATTGGGTTTTATTTTCTAGTATTTCAGCTTCACTTTTATAAGGAACGTATTCACATCACATTTTAGTGATAATATGAGATGTAGTATAAGTTTTTTAACAAACAAAATAGTAAGACACCAACATGTTACAACTGCATGAGTGTTAAATAATAAATTCCTGCATTAAAAGTGGGTATCTGTTTGATACTGCTTGGTAGTGAAAACAGTGTGGGTTCTTTTGCTGTTAAATTATTCCTGGTATTTTTACTGATTTTTGAAGGTATCTTATGCACTGAAGAAACCTGACTTCAGGACTGAAAACAAAAAATAAATTGATCTAAGTAATTTCTACAGAAAAGGTCAGAATCGTGAAATTGTATTTTTTCACTTGAAGAGCAGAATACTCACATAACTCGTAACATTTAAAATGTTTTGTGAGTTTGAAAGTACCATTATGGAAAAAAAAATATTGTTAAAACATGAACATATATTAGTAGGTAAATGTTACAGCTTAGTGATTGACGTTTGTAATATGTTTGAAATTCAAGCTTAGAAAAAAAAAAGTGGTTGTAGAGAAGAAAAGCTGGGATCGTAAGGGTATGGACACCATGTTCAATGTAATTAAGAAGCAACCTATCAACACTAAGTTGGTAATGCCATCCCATCTGCCAAACCCTGCATTAGCTGGCAGTCTGCCCCTCTGGCAGCCTGCTGCTGCTTCTGTTACCCACCTGATCCTTGGAGACCTGCTCTGATGGAGCGTTTATGCCAAGCTCTTCCAGAGGATAGACAATCTGTCGTCTTGGTCGCACGGGAACCATGTAATGAAGGGCAGATGTCAGGGAATGGGCAAAGGGATTCTGAAACTGAAAGACAGTGATCTATATTTCAGCAGAGAGAATGTCAGAACAGTGCATCACAGATGTCTGTTGTATGCCTCTGCAAATACAGAATTCTTAGCTCTGTTGGCTAAATCTGAGAGAAAAATCAGTAAATAAACAAACATACTCAGAGCAGAGGAATGAATTGCAGATAATTCCTGACACTAATGAAGATAATTATGAGTGTAATTACATTACTATCTCTGTGGGAATGACAGATAAACAAGTGGTTTGGTTTATAGGATTTTTCAGCACAAGTATTTTCCCCGGGAGGATATTTTTCTCCATAGTGATCATGAATCAGCTTGATTTGACCTCATTAAGCTATGTTATCTGCTTACTGCTAACCTTTGCTTGTTTGGCAGAGAATGGTTATGAATTTATGTAAAAATACTATACCGACTAAAATGTCAATTTAATCCAAGTGATAAATGTTAATAAACTGGCATAAACTTGAAGTGAATGAAAACCTGAATGTTAATAAGACCAGCATGGACCGTAAGAAGTAGCTTTATTCCATTTATTACAGCATGGCTGGCTCCATCGTAACTTATGACATGAAAAGGAAAAAAAAAATAGGAGAATTACAGGAAATAGAGAATGAGCATTAATGCAAACTAAATTACATTGAAGTACCATTCCATCCAGAAACACTGAAAAGAAAAGGAGTGTTACACCATGGAGAACTGAGTAAAATATCACTTTTACCCATTTATTATAAAGCAACAGTGAGCTAAAGTAAATTAGAGAAACTCTAATCTAGAAGTAGACCAAATTGGAATTATTAGTAAGATTTAAGTTCTCTTCCATCCACTGCCATTAAGCTGCATTTTTGTAAGTACCTTTGAAGAACCTGAGAACCTAATGCTACACAAGGACCTTAGTTTCTCAAGAGAACACTCCATAAAACTCCACAAAATGCACACTGGAAAAGCAGGAAAATACACCCTTCTGAAAATGGACCTGCTCAATCTGTCAAAATTCCTACGTTAAAAAGGGAGGCGATTTCAAAAAACACATAAGTCACCATCTAAAAGATAGGAGCTTAATCTAGCTAGCCATGCAGACACCTCCCCAGAGCTGAAGAGGTGAGCATCTCCAGAGGGCAATACTTGCTGCCCTAAGATGGGTCGTTATGATTGATGAACTGCCCTCTGGATGCACTGTGTTTTCTCCATTAACTCTGGCAGGAGCTGAGGTGACCAGGTCAGATACTAGCTGTATATGGCTATGGATATTTTTTAAATCATCTTTTCTTTTGCTTCTACAACTTACATTACTGGAAATGAATCTTCTCACACACACAGCATCAGGTGTTTATAGTTTTTAGGTGGCCCTTGCAGAAGTACAAGTTAAATTTTCACTAACGATGAGATGCCCAGATCCCCCTGACTTTTGTTAAAAACCAGTCTGAAGTACCTAAATCATTTCTGAAGTGTTCTTACAAACCAGCTGGATGTGTTTTTAATATGCTCATGTTGTACTGTGCTCAGTGAAATCAGTCTTTTCTCTTCCCTGCCCTCCAGTTTAATCTGAATCTAAACAAATAGGGGTACTTCTCAAAATTTATTATGTGAGACAGCACAACTTGATTAGGTTCTGGTAATAAACTATGAGAAGAAATACAGGTAGTTAAATAAAAAGGTGTTATACGTGCATCGTCCCTTCTCATTTTATACATGCTTGATAACTGATTTGAATTGAAAGCAATTAAAGAAAACCATGATGTTGGTCTTCTCAGATGGTGAGTTATGACAGTTCTTTGGTATTTTTTCAACTATGCATCCAACAGGGGCAAGAAATGAAGTCACACAACTACAACTTTCAACTCAGACACCGGGTCCTACTTAGGCAGGACTACAAATACTGAAAGCTTTCTACCCCATCCTGGAACAGATCTATTGGGAAACTTGCTTATCAGTACTACAGAACATTTATAGAGGGTCTGACAACACACGAGGCAACAGCAACATGAGAAGGTATGTGGGTAAGAAGTATATGTACTTCACCTAGAAACAAGTGAGGAGATACCAAATACATTATTCCTCTACTGTGCTGCTCCCAGGGCAACATACTAACGTGTGTAACTAAAGATATCTAACTATATTTAGAGAACAGATGCCCTAAGGATCTTCTAAATTCAACCAAAAAACAGACACTTGTAAAGAGTGATTCAGCTCAGAAGAAGCCATCCCCCAAAGGAGAGCTTTTCTCTCTTCACAGTCTAGGCAAAGAAAGGGCCAAAGCCAAGGCCATTCAAACTTCTGCTCCTCCAAATGCTTTCTGAAGGTATTGAGTAAGTTTTGACTTGTATGCACTGCTGACAGCACTATGGACTAAACCTTCTAAGGAACAGCTGTATCTATGAATGCAGATTACATGATGCAAGAAGAAAAAAAAAAGCACAGTTTGCTTCAGGTTACCAAGAAAATTCCTTTTTTCCATCAGTCATAGAAGCAAAAAGAACAAATGAGCAAAGGTGATAATATTCAATATATAAAATAGAAGTAACTTCATTCTTACCTTGCCCTTTGCATACTGTGGATAAACAGGGTAGAAAAGAGAAGATTTGTGGGCCAAGCGAAGAATTTCCTTTAGAAAGTGTTTGGTATAGTGACGAAATATTGGATTTAGGACAAAGTGGTAAAGCTCTCCATGTTCCTCTTGCTGGTAGTAATTAAAATGAATAAAGTCTTCGATGTTGTAATGTGTTTGAATATACACAATGTCCTGGAAAACAAGAATCTGGAAATGAGCAGTGATTAAAAATTTATACCTATGATATTTTAGCAAGTGCCAATGAGGTAATTTTATATCAATTATCTATTGATATAAGAAAGAAGACTGAAATGAAGTGCCATTGAGGATTATTCTCAACTAAAGCAGACTGACTGAACACTTTTTTCTCACAAATCTTTTCATTGTATCAAAATCTATTCTTCTGTATGCCAACCTTTATTTACATGGAATGCATATGTGACTCCTTCACAACAATACCTGATACAGATTAATGGGCATTCGTGAAAAAAGAAAGAGAACACCTCTGTTTTGCTGACTTAAGCCAGAAGTTAGGCTGTCTCCTCACAAAACTTAAACCAAAAAAGGAAAACTTTACAGAAAAGATCTGTGAAATGCCTTCCAAGAAATTTCCCATATTGAAGTGAGAAGTTGAGAATTTTGTACACTTATACACTCAAAAAATTGCAGCATCCTTTTAACTCAAGGCCCTTAGTATAAGTAAGTTACTTTTGTAAATAGAAGCAACAACTCCTCAGTTTAAGAACTAAGCACTACAGCTGCTGAAAGATTTTAAATCTGTCTTTTCAACAGCAGAAGGCCATAAGACAAAGAACTGAAGAGCACTACTTTCCAAGAATAATGTGAAACTTTTTTTGGTACTCCATTAGAGCATGTTTTTTGTTTGTACGTTTTGAAGTTAAGTTCAATATATAATCACTGAAAAGCCACTGGTGGGGAAAAAGGCAAAGAAAGTAAATCTAAAAGGAAAGCTGCTACTCTTCACATTAGGCTTAGCAAAACCACTTTGGAAATCAGGGGGCAAAATAAGTGATTCTTAACAGCTAGAGGCAGAATGGCTTTGTACTAAAGAAGAAAACATGGATGTAGGATGTCTGTACTTCCAAAACCCATCAAGAAACTTCTTGCAACTATCAGGATGATTTTTTGTGTGTGTGTGTCAATCACTGTCTATGAGAATTAAAGTGATACTGTCTACATAGCAAAGAGACAAAGAACCAGTGGCTTTTACATATATTTTCTGTTAGGTATTTGTATAGTGGCAAGCACAGAACTCAGCCTTTGGTGCTAAGGGCTAATTGTTAGCATTTTCATACGATTCAGATATAACAAATGGGGAAAACATAAGTAGAATTTACCATTTCATCTCTAACGACAGAAATGCCAACTATTTGATCCAAAACTTCTGCTACAAATGCCTGTACTGGGGTCCCATCCTGTAAGGCAACAGCATCATAAGCACAGTTCTTATTTTATTACTGATCTTGTCATTTTATCTTAAATGTGTATTTCACCACATAAGCACAGTTAAAATATTTCCCCAGTATATATTTATGCACTACACCAATTCAGTCCTTCTCTCTTGCCTTAAGGTATAATGTTCAAACAGTATATAATATAAAACAATATGTATATATACATAAATATACATGCATAGTTGCAACCATACTGGACTAAAGCTTAGTTTAGCATCTAGCTGCTATAGCAGAGCTATATGCTCAGTCACTCATTTAGTCCTGGGTTAAAGTCAGATCTTAGGAAATAATATTCATTAATATACAGATAAAGTTTTCATCAGTTGTAGCATAAAATGGATTTTTCTACAATTGCACGATTAGTAATGTTAACAGTATTTTGCATGTTCCACTATGAAACAAAAATGGATGTTTCTTAGTGTTTGATAGGCATGTATCTGGTTGCATTAAAGGAAGGAAAAAGAAGCCCCTATCATATAACAAAGTACATGTACATGTTCATCATGCAATCAGATTTATGTGCAGGAAAAGAAACTGTCAGACTGTCAATGGCCAAAAAAAAATGCATCCAGCCTGTTTGTGTCTCTGTATTTGAGGAGTTGGCAATGAAAGGATTAATTGGTGTAGGCCACAAACAGGCTGAACCATCTAGTCAAGCTGAATGCAGCCTATACCAATTGTTGGTACCAGCTGGTTACATAGATAGAGTTCACCAGTTTAGAGAAACATAACAAATTGTAAATGTATTTATCAGTATGTATCCACTGTATTCTAAATATATTTACAGCAAATACTCACTGGATCCCTGCGAGCCAAAATAAATGTATTTAAGTCACTCAATATACTTTCATTCAAAGTCAGTGTTTTAATGAGCGTTTTGACTCCAAGTATATCATTGGTTGTTGCTCTTCTTACATTAAAAGACCTATTAAAAAAAAAGGAAGAAAGGTTTGCTTTATGACAGATTAAACACTGCATTTCCTGTGTGTGTGAAGATGTGTCTTACAGAAGCACCAAATATGTCTTTTAGAAGCTGGAGTTGATTGCTATGACTGTTGTTCCAAATGTATATTTTATTGTTCAGTGGCAGAGATCACAAACCTGTTTAAACCAACTCAAGAATGCTGCTTTAAAAGCTACTAAACACTTAGTGCTTAAGCACCTACAGCCCAATCCCATACAGCAAACACTTGCCATACCTGGAATCACAAAATTCCCATGCCCATGAGAATAAAAGTAGAGACAGGAAGCAAAGAATCTGTAAGAACAAAATCCATTACTGTGCACTGACACATAAGGAGAAAACGAAAGAAAAGAAAGAGAGGAAATAAGAAACAAAACAAGAGGAAGAAAAGAAAAAAGAAAAAAAAAAAAAGCAGAGCCAACTATCATTCCCAGATAATGAGCAAAGAAAGGCAGGAATATCAATGCTGCACAAGAATTTTTCCAATAAAAAATGAATTACTAATATTGATTCTTCAAAGAGTTATGAACAAAGATAAATTGGCATGAATAAAATGCTATTACTAAATGTAGGAGTGTCAATTAGTAATCACATTACAGTGACATGCTATAAAAATGTGCAGTATATACAACCAACACCATGTTATACCAGCATGTAACCAGTTCAGTTAGAAAACATGTTCCTACCCAATGCTTATGAAAAAAAAAATTACTTCAGTGACCATCTACAGCAGCTGAGGAATTATTCTGTTGCCTGATAAAGACACTGACCATTCTTGGTTGAACAAGGCTTATACTATCAAGACTGATGAGCGCTGTCAAGGAACTCAACTGTAACTTCATTTCCAAGAATTAAGATCTTTCAACCACAATTTACAAAACCTGCAGTTCGTGTAGTATAACTCCTATTCCTATGATTTCCTTGTTTTAAATTTCAACTTCTGTGTGCAGTTTTTCAGCCTAAGTTACAATTAAATTGATTTTGTAAAACATGGTTCTAATGAGTATTACAGAATCACTGAATTGTAGGGACTGGAAGGGACCTGGAAAGATCATCTAGTCCAACCCCTCGGCCAAAGCAGGCTCCTTATACCAGGTTGCACAGGTAGAGACTTAACTATAATCTATAATATATCTATTTAGTAATGCATAAGTACCAGCTACTTTAAAATAATATATAACCACCAAATATATGATATGTATGGGAAATTTTACAGCTCAATCTTATCAAATACTTTCAACTCAACTATCTGAGTGCTCAAGAATGTACATTTGATTACTAATTTCTGCAAGAAACCCTGCATCTGGCATCCAAACAACAATCTAATCCTCAATTTCTAAGTGAGCTTTGGCTCAGTTTCCACACTTGTTAAGACATTTCCACAGACAGTTAATTACAAGATCAAACAAGTGATGAGGATGAAGGCCAGCAAAACTAACAATATGGTTAACTTTGCAACCTGTAAGCATTCCATCTTCCTGCCACTCTATTGCGCCCATTGATTTGAGTTCTCCTCCCCACATGTCCAAGAGAAAGCAACTGGACCACTAATGAAGCACATTTCTAGTGCTAGAAAAACACTATGTCATATTACATTATGTAAATAACATAAACATTTTAAAATAAATAAATGGACAGTTAAAACAACCAGATCCATTGTGAGTATGAAAGAGTAGGAAGGACCATCCAAGGCCTGGGTTCATTTTTCTTCCAGCAAAGAATTAACTCACTTCAGATGCCCAGTTCCTTTGACTGCCCAGAAGCCAGGACACTGTTATTATTATTATGCCTTTTAGTGAAAATTGAAGGAAAGTACCCATTAAGCAGTTCAGCCTATGCCTTCTCATCTGTTATTTTTTCTCCTTCACTGTTAAGTAGCAGACCTATACTTCCATTTGCTGCACTCTTGCTTTTTGTGTACTTAACACTTTTTCTTACTCCTTCTCCAACCTTTGCTAATCAGTATCTCATTTTGTGCCTGTGCCTCTTCTGATTTTGCCCTTTCATGTCTTCAGATTCCCACCTTCTTACCCCTGTTTTCCTTTTAATCCATTTTATGTGATGTCCTTTTCACTCACATGCCTTTTGAAAGCTCTTGGTGCAAGTACAATATATTGATCTTTTACTTTTTCATACTTTTTTCTAAGCGAGTTATCTGCTGTTGTGCACTGAGTTGTGCATAGAAATTTTCTAAAAGCTTCACCCGGTTTCTTATACATCTTTTTTGAAGGCTATTTTTTTCTTCCTTTCCAGCACAGCTGCAAAGGGTCTGGAAAATGCAACTAATAATCCTATTTTGTTGCCACAGAAAGGCTCGGGTATTGCTTGGAATATGCGCAATTCAATCAGAATTTTAAGGTCTTTTAAAAAAAAACCTTGATAACAAGTTTAATTTTTATCAAAATTGCAAAAGGACTCAGGACTACCAATCCTACTGCTCTGTTACTGAACAGCTGTGACTGAGATTAACAGGAATTACTCCAGTGGCTTTATCTTTGGCCAGCTGGATTCTTACATAATACACAGAAGCTCAATTCCATCCCATGGTAAAAAAGCTTCTGCATAGGTCCAAGAATAGCTGGCCAGTTCCTGCACAAGCTATTTGTATACCATCAATGGTGATTAAGTATGCAATTAAAACAGAAGTATTTCTCTGAAATCAAGTAGTATTTAGCTACATTCATAAGAAACATAAGGGAAGATCCCCAGTTGTGCCAAAAATTTAAGATTGGTGTTTTGTCCAGCTTGGCATACAAACAAAGCACTGGAAAACTTATATGCAATGTAACAAGAATGATAACCAGAGAGGTTCTGTATCCCAGTTTGCCAGTATTTCAGACTGTAGAAACATACAGAGTAGCACAGAATTTGAAAGAAATGAAATACATGATTCAACACCAAAAATAACCTAGAGATAACTTAGGTAAAATACTCAACAACGAGGTTACTGCTGTGTGTGTATGTTCCAGATGTACATTACTACAGATCTCTCTTGCAAGAGAGCTATTTTATGCTTCCAAGAACTAAATCTACACCTGGCTTTCAAATATTAATGTTATTCAAGCTGATCTAAGTCCAAAGAGTCAAATGGTTTGCATTTCTCTGTTGGCCTTGTTCTACAATGAGGTAGCTTGGATAAGATACACAGATACAAGTTTTAAATGAGTCCTCTTATTGCTCTTTTTTTTTTTCTTTCTTCTGTAAAGAAGAATTGCTGGCAGTCAGAAGATCACTTGCTTTTACGTTTCTAATTACCTCATTTTATGTTTAATTAAAATTTATGTCACTAATTAATTTCTTTTACTGACATTATAACCGTATTTCTACTCTGTCGATTGTACCGTTATGTGGAGGTGGAGATACACCTCAGTAGGCTTAGAATTCACTCCAGAACAAGAAGTGAGACAGTTGCAGTAATGTTGCTGAAGCCTAATTGTTCCAGGCACAGAACTGTGCTATTCAACCATATAGTTCTGGGGTTCAGGCTACCAATCTGTAAGATGCTGCACTGTACCATGCACATTTGTAAGAGCAAGCGGGAATAAACATCTGATGTTAGGTTGGATGATGCAATAATAGAAGTAATTCAGAGTACTTCATTTGTTGCTGTGAGGCACGTGACTCACTTGAGCAATCCTGCACGGTGGAACACGTAAAGCTCGTGACCAAACTGGGAAGTACAGGAAGGGGCAACTCGAACAAAACTCTGGATCAGGTAGAACTCTGGTACACAGTGTGGCACAAGGATGATACAGAAGTCTTTGTCCTGAAAATAGATGCGGAGAACATAGACTCTCAGTGATCTCAATGCCAGCTTTACACAGAAGCTTCTGACTACAGGGGATAAAAAGAAAATAAACTGAATGCTTTGCTTAAATGTATGTACACTCAAATTTTGCTTTACCTAGATGGCTTGATGCACAGGCAGCACAAAGGAACTGATAAGCCCAAGATTAACTCAGCTTACAGAAATGAGTCTTTTAGCTCCAGTAGTAAAGTCTTGCCCTGGCATTCTCTAAAGGTCCTTCTTCTCCCCATTTTTCTTTTCTTCCTCATTACTCCTTATGCCCAGATCGTTAGAGCCAACCTATTTTCCTCTATAAATTTTTTTTCTACCCTGGAATTCTGTTGCACTGGAATTTTAAGACAATGTATGTCTCTCTGGATCTTCTGCACATTTGTAGCTAAGTTAGATCAACAACTAGAGCAGCATGCCCTAAAATCCTCAACAAATAGTCAGCATGCAAGCTCAGACTGACCTTGCATTTATCAGTTTTATGCGGTGCAAATTTGATGTCCAGCCTGTCCTGAATTTGGTATTTCTGGTACATACATGTTACAGGGTACATACACATCACAAGCACACACTCTATATGCAGACAGTTTAAGGATATCATGTGGTTAATTTTTCTTGCTACATCTGGTGATTTTATTGAGACATTTTGTCTCAAGAAACTACAGATGGCAGGTATATTGTTGGATGGATAAATTACTATGAAATTTGAGATCCTATTCTGTGTTCACTTTCTTTGGGAACTTTCTTTGGAAGTGAAAAGCATTTCTGTACATGCTGATAGCTAGTGCCTCTTCTGCATCAGCTGTCTCTAAAGGATGCTACCACGCATTAATTTGTAGAGGGAATTTACAATATTACAGCGTGCATTAAGGATGCCTTAGAAAATATACTCTGTTGCCTCGGATACAGATTGATTACACAGAGAGTTAATGTGAAATAGCTACTGCACTGTTAATTCACTATCTTCTTTGCCTCACGTTAGCTTTAACACAAACATTCCTGGTTTAGCACATAGGCAAACAGTACAGATTTCATTAATAGTGTCGTTTTCTAGACACTAAACAAAAAAAACAAAAATAAACCGCTGTGAAACATACCTACAAAACATGAACAAAGAACTTATGCACACAATACATAAAGCCCAAAAGCAGCCAAGAAGAGAAGTCAGAGTCCTCAGGGTAACTCAGCACAGGATAGCAACCCATTGTGCACTCTTGTGAGTCCCTGACTTACTCAGGTGTTGTATGTATGTAGTATTGCTGTCAGCTGCATTATTGTCCCTCCAAGCATAAACATGTGAGCAAACTTTAAAACTTTAAGGTATACGTACTGGAAAAAGCTTGAAAACATAATGCAAAAAATCCAGTGATCTGTAACCAAGAGCAAACATAATTAGATAACGTGCATAACAAGCAGATCCTAAACATTTCAATATTTACTTCCTCATAAGCGTAAGAAATACTTAATTCCTTTCCACTTCTCCCCCACTGGTTTAGAGCACTTCTACACTCTGTTCTACACTGACAGTGAAAAGTGACATTTGGGTTTTAAAAGACTTAATAAGTTACCAAATTAATCCATATTCTCCTCTGTGTATGGATACCAAGGCCTATCAAATAGAGTTATAATGAAGCTTTATGTAATATTACTCCATAATACAAAATGTGACTTCTGAAGATATTCTATACGGATATCTATTACCTAAAAGTACTGGCAAAACCTCTCCCCATCAAACATGTAATTAAAGTAACTAAGTTCCCTTTAATTTCTATGGCAACATCATCACTGGATGGAAGGAGAAATCATTTTTAATTAAAATAGTTGTGATTGAGTGAACAATTTGAAAACTAACAATGTATAAACAGTCATCTGATTAGAGTATTATATGAGGGCTGCTCCAAAAGTAATGCTTCCACTTTATTATGTTGACCCACGACGTCAGAGGCAGATATTGGTGGTATGGCAGTAGAGACTGAACCTTCCCATTAACATTCCATTACATTTTGTTGCCATGCAGCAGATGGCAGCCGAGGGGCAGTCTGACAAAATGGCGTCTGACAAGGAAGTGTGTATGAAGCCAAGGTGTGTCACTGAATTGCTCAGTGCAGAAAAAATGCACCCACTGACATTCACTGATGCTTACTGAAGATTTATGAAGGGCAGTCGGTGGATATGAGCACAGTGAGGTGATGCATCTCTGCAGTGGTAACTGTGGAGTGTGAAAGACAAGCCATGTTCCAGACAGCACAGCTGTCACCTCTGCTCGTACAGATTTGGATGAGTGTAGCATGCAGGCTCTTGTTCACTGCTGGTAAAAATGCACGACTAATGGTGGTGACTTTGTTGAAAAACAGAGCTTTGTAGCTGAGAATTTGCCTTACCAAACTGTGTTATTGTGCCCTTTGTATGTGTTGCAGTTTTCATGGAAATTAATACAAAACGTTGGAGTGGCCAACATGTATATAATACATAATTAAGACTAGTTAAGCAAATAGTTAAGTAGAGGAAAGGAAAACACTACAGCAATGTATGTTTATATTCTCTGGTGTCCAGCAATTTCTTGGCATCAAGGAACTCAAGAATGGAGATAGAAGAATTTTCAAGGAGTTAAGAAGGTATCAAGTATCTGTAGGTAGAAAATAGCAGTTCAGTTCCTTCACGTTTCACTTTATATGTACTAGCAAGCCACATAACAGCTCTAGATGTAAGAGATGAAAACATTTAGCAACTTTACTGGATAACATAAATTCCTCAGCAGCAGATTATATTCCTTAGCCCTCAAGGGCTAAGATATAATCATACTGACATTACAACCAAATTACTATTTCTGGATCCATGCTATGAAGGGTCAGCAGTACCTCCTTCATGGCAAAATTCTGAGCTACAGTCAGGATTACTTCATATCATCATCTCAGACATATTTGCTTTTCTAATGGTCAGATTCTTTCACAAACAAGTGGATCATGATAGTGAAAGGTAGGGAAACATACATGGAAAATACCGTAAAATAACGATCTAGAGAATCCTCAGCTCTGAGGAGAAGATTCTGTATGACTGTTGATCTCAGGGAAACACTGCAAAGGAATGCTATCTTCTTGAAGATATTCATCTTGGAATCTGAGATGTCTCCAGGGAAAGAAGAAAGGGACTGCAGTGCTCAGTGATAAACATAGTCAACATATCTTGAACAGAAACAGCAGCGGTTCTTATGGTAGTTAGAATGTCAAAAGTGGACAAAGAAATGGCAGATCCTTATCCTAAGAAGGATGCTCTGAGCAAAGAACTCAACCAGCCTACAGAGAGATTATTTCCTAACACAGTTACAGAAGATCACTGTTTTGTTTTTCTATTTCAGCATATTTGATCATTTCAGAGTAAGTTCCTCACCTCAGTGTAACTTTAGAAAGTTATTTTATTCTGCAATAATTACCCTGCATCATTTTTTGTTGTTGTTGTCCATAAATTAACCATTCTTGAACAGAATTCCTGCACCATGATTGATTGGTGACATCAGAATTGGAGGCTGCCTGGGCTGTAGTGACCAATGTGGAGTTCATACTCCTGAGGGATATGGGAGAGACAAAGAGTAAAATCAGATGTTAAATTTTAGGAAAGTCAAACTCCAGCTCCTCAGGGAGTTGGTCAACAAAACCTCTGGGAATCTGCCCTCAAGGACAGAGAACACAGCAGAGCTGGAAGATCTTTAAGGAATCTTTCCCTAGGGCACAAGAGCTCTCCACACCAGGTGTAGAAAGTCAGGACAGGAAAGCAAGAGACCGGCATGGTTGAACTGGGACCTGCTGGTCAAACTGGAAAGCAAGAAGAAAATATACAGGCAGTGGAAGCAGGGATAGGTGCCCTGGGAGAAGCATAGGGATGCTACTAGGCTGTGTAGGGATGGGGTCAGGAAGGCCAAGATCCAACTAGAACTGGACTTGACAAAGGGTGCAAAGAAGATCAAGAAAGGCTTTGACAGGTACATCATAAAGAAAAGGAAAGTTCAAGAAGGCATACCCTCCCTGTTGTGAGCAATATAAGCAAGCTGATAACAACAGAAGGGGAGAAGGCTAAGGTTCTCAACAACATTTTTGTTTCAATCTTCACTGGCAACTGTTCTTCACACACCCCTTGAGCTGATGGGTTGGAAGAAATAAGCCCTTCCCACTGTAAGGTTTGCAACCTCCTGAGGAACGTGAACATCCATAAGTCTATGGGTCCTCATGAGATGCATCTCAAAGTCCTGAGGGAACTGGCTGATTTTCTTGCCAAGTAAATGATATTTGAAAAGTCATGGCAGTGAGGTGAAGTCCCTGGTTACTGGAAAAAAAGGCACTGTCACACCTATTTTTAAGAGTAGTAGGAGGGATGAGGCATTGTCACACCTATTTTTACAAAGGGGATGAAATAGGCAACTACAGATATGTCAGCCTTAGCTCTGTGCTGAGGAAGATCATGGAGCAGATCTTCCTGGAAGCTATGCTAAGACACACGGGAAAGAGGGATGGGATATGGGACAACCTGCATGGCTTCACCAAGAGCAGGTCCTGCCTGACCAACCTAATGGCCTTCTACTGCGGTGTAACCGCATCAGTAAACAAGGGAAGAGACACTGATGTCATCCAGCTGCACTTCAGCAAGGCCATTAACATGGTCCCCCACAATATTCTTCTCTCCAAATTGGAAAGATACAGACTTGATAGGTGAACTGTTTGATAGATGAGGAACTGGTTGCAAGGTTGTACCCAGAGAGTGATGGTTAGTGGCTCAATGTCCAGATGGGAATCAGCAACAACTGGTATCCCTCAGGTGTCAGTACTGCTCTTCAACCACTTTAAAAGTTGTTACTAAGATTAGAAAAGCAGTAACCAGTCATCCATGCTTACCTGGTTTCATACTTCTCATCAATACAAAATAGACGAATACAGAAAGCATTTGAAGCTCCTCTATATATTGGATGAAAAGTATCTTTTTCTTCAGCCTCAAGGAAGGAAGGCGAGGCATGAAAATCGGTGTGTATGACATCATCTAAGGGCAGTTTAGTATGGGAAACAGCAATCACTCCATCTTTCTGCAATAATAGAAGTAACGATCACATAAAACATTCCACAAAATATTCTCATTTTTTTTAAATTAAGGTCTTGCATCATTCCTATTTTACAGCATTTTAAGCAGAATTTTACCTGTCACTTTGACAAACACAAAAGTCTGAGGAGGTATTTTTAACATGCTGTTTTTGAAACACTAAACAAAAATGGTCTTTAAAAATACGTAACTTGGTGCTGCAGAGCAAAACATTCATAAATGAATAGTTATTGTTAGAATTCCTTTGTGAGGCAATAAATGTCTCTGATGCAAAACTACATGAAAATTAAAACGTTGTTATCTATACTGCGTATCTGTACTGATCTATACTGATCTATACTACATCAATACATTTCATATTAATGCTCTTTTATCAAGTTGAGCTTCATCATCAGAAACAGCAGAAGATACACAGCCAGAACAAGGGCCCTGTGAGTTCCACAAATTATGGGAGAAAAGTGAAGCTATACTGGTGCTTTTAACAGCTTCGGTAGCTTTCTGTCAGTAAGAGATTTGAAGCTGGGTAACACAGTGAGTTAGAACCTCAATACTCACACACCTTTCTATGCAAGCAGACTCCCACCTGTTACAGAAAAGCTCTCCTTTCAACTTCATCAGAGGCCTCTTGAAGCCACGAACCCCCATATATGCAGGTGAGGGCAGGCCCCATCCCTTTCCTCCCTCAGTGTCACTTGTTCCAATTCCCATATTGACCACTGTTCAAACAGAACCAGATGGATAACTCTTCTGGTTAATCATAACTACTACCTCCACGCAGACCCTAGCTAAAGCAATTCTGATCTGTGGGTGTGGGTACCAGCATTGGGCAGTGCAAGAGCAGAAACACTGCTTGTCCCAACAGCCTCCACCTCTGCTTCAAATTAGTTTTGAAATCACCAGCACTGCTGTGTGTTACCTGCACAGCTGCATCTTCATCACTAATGTCTTCCAAGCTTTGAGATGAAACGGTTTCTGCTTCCTGACTTTTTTGATTCCTTTTATCTTCATCTGAGTAATGTAAAAGGATAAACAAATCAGGTCTAAAAATGCAAGCTTAACCATCAGAGTCACAGTGATAACTGATGAGGAGGTGTGCCAGACTGCTTCTGTTGAAAGGTTGGTTTTATTTATTTGTAATAAACCATGTTTAAAACAGGTTCTCCTGTATTTACGTGGCTAGAACTTCATTAGACAATCCGATCTCGAGGAAAAATCAGATAATTGGCTTTAAGACAGACATTGAATAAGACAGATTTTGGAAGCAACTTCTAACTCTTACATTATATGTAATAAATTGTAATTCTATCTGAAGGGAAAAATAGAAGTGAGTAGTGTATTGACCAGTACCTTTAAAGCTACGTCTGTTGCTACCTTGCTTTCTAATGACCATAAGAATGAGCAGGGGTGCTCAATGCTCAGATTATTTCTCCTGTCAGAATAAAACCTAGGCAAGCCAGAAGCCTTACCTAATGGAGCAAACAGAGATGAGAAACAGGCATTTAAATTTCCTTCTCATTTGGTAATTTTAACTAGCTCTCTAACCCTTATTTCATTTCTTACAAAAAGCATTAGCCATTTGACCGGTCCTCCACAGTTTGCCAATTTTTTGCCTTGTCTAAAAAATGCCCTTATCTAAGAAATGCTCTCCTCTGCTGCTTTTCCTGGATGCTGAAGTAACTGCTTCAAAGCACTTTGCCAGCCAACTGCCAATTGCAATTTTTGTGTGTATGATTTTTTCAGCCAAAAATCAGACTCAGATTGAACTGCACGTGGAATGCCCATAGTAGCAATGATCACAGCCTTGGTAGCCTGTTAGATGTCAGCAGCATAAAGAAGGAATAAAAGGGCCCCATGGAAAGGAAAGGTAATTGACAATCAAATTAACAGAAACCAGGTCTTATATCTACACGATGGATCATGGAGTCCTGGAGTCCATTGAGGATAACTGCCTGGGTTTTAGGCAGACCAACCAGAGATGAAGTGTTACCAGACCTGGTGCTCATCAGTGCAGAGGAGATCATTAAAGAGGTTAAGATCAGAGGCAGTCTGGGCTGTAGGGACCGTGACCTGGTCAAATTTGGGATCTTGAGGAACAAGGGCCTAGCAAAGAGTGTAGTCATGACCATTCAGGAGAGCAAATTTTTGGCTGTTTAAGGAATTATTGGATGAGATCTCCTGGAAAAGCATCCTTGGGAACATAGGAATGGAACAGAGCTGGCAGCTCTTTAAGGACATCTTTGTGAGGGCACAAGAGCTCTCCATCCCCCAGCACGAGAAGGAAGCAGAGGAGACAGTAAAATGGCATGGCTGAGCAAGAATGTGCTGGCCACATTGAGGGAAAAAAAAGCAAAGCACAAGCAGAAGAAGCAGGAATGAGTGTTTTGAGATGAATATAGGGATGCTGTCTCATCTCTCAGAGATGGGATCAGGAAAGGCAAGGCACAGATGGAACTAAACTTGGCAAAGGATGTGAAAAATAACAAGAAGGGATTCTATAGGTGCATGTACACTGGATAGAAAAGACAGGCAGAGGAAACCCCTCTGAAAAATGAGAACGGAGCTTTAGCAGACATGGAGAAGACTGAGGTACTCAACCAGCTCTTAATCTCAGTCTTCAATGGCAGTTGGGCTTCCCACAATTCTCACATCCCTGAAGCTAGAGACAGAGTTCAGGGGAACAAAATCCCTCCCATTGTGAGCAAAGAGCAAATCCAAAACTGCCTCACGAGGCTGAATGCATACAAGTCCGTGGGGTCAGACAACATACATCTCAGGAACCTGAAGGAACTGGTTGATGTGGTTGCCAAGCCATTCTCAATCATATTTGAAAAGTCATGTTTGTCTGGCAAAGTCTCTAGTGGTTGGAAAAAGGGAAACATCACTGTCAGATTCAGGAAAGAGAGAAAAAAAATACAGGACTACAGGCTGGTTAGTGTCACATTTGTGCCTGGGAATACCATGGAGCAGATCCTCCTGGAAGATAAGTTAAGGCACACACGAAACCATGTAGTGATCTGAGATCATCAGCACGACCCTCCAGTTTACTTCATCTCAATTGGGGTAATAGTAGTTTTGCGTGTAAAACGGGAAATTAAGCTGATTGGATGAAATTACTTGTCGCCATTTGATGAATCATTTTTTAATCATTGACTGACATGACAAACAGCCACGACAGATACTAATATGATGCAGTGTATGTGTGTGTATGCTTACAGCATTTCTGATGAAGTGCTAAAGCCAATTAAAGCAAAGATCTGCATGTCAGGAAGTTAGATAAACATCTAAACATATTTTTTGCCTTTCTACTCTTGGCTGGAGGCAAATACAGAGTGGCTAATTAAAATGTAAGAAACCACAACAAAAATACCCCAAACCAATTTGGAACATAGAAGATGCATTATGTTGTATTTTAATTACTTCTCCACTCTACAGAACACTACTGATACCTGGCATCAGTGTTAGAGAGCAGACCACTAACTTTCATAACATCTTGATACTTGTTAGGCATTAGGCAACCACTGTTCCAGCAAACGTGAAGTATTTCTGGGAAAGCCATTCCTAAATCTGCATGGTGATGTATTCTGTGATTCAAAGTCGGTGGAAAGTGAGGGTGTTCAGAACCAGAGATCACCTGATCTCCTCTCATAAAAGCCACATCTAAAATCAATTTTATGGACCAAAATAATTCAAGTCGTCACCTGGAAAAAAAAAACCACTCAAGTACTACCTAAGCCAACATATTCCATCAAATAACCACCAAAATTACTAAAGCTAAGTGTCAGCTGCTGTATCTAAGCCCCTGAAAATCTGTTTTCAATAGTTTTGCCATTCCTTATATTGTCACCTCTCTAATTTTACAGATACAATCTCTTAAAAATTGAGCCTGAAAACAACTTTTAACTAACAAACTCTCCAGGTTTAGGTATCATGGCTGTATAAAACAGATTAGGTCAGCACATCCCTGCACTAGAAAGCATTAGGAACATAGGAATGACAAAGTTTTTGAGTTTTTGAGCTGCAGGAGGAGTAGAAAAACCATCAAAAGTCAGCACTACAACATTCTTCTCTCTGCTCGCCGAGCTTTACCACGGCAAATCCATCTAAGCTGTATTCATTGTCATAAATCTTTTTCTTCATACGGTAATGAGGTTTAAATTCAAAGGTTTAAAATAATTAAGCTCTAAGTCTTTTAAAAAATCTGCTATCTGAAAATCTATTTGTCTGTTAGGAGAAGAGAATGCAGGGCAAGAAGAAACACAGGGGTTAGAAATGAAGGTTTCTCCAGGGGTATCACAGATGTGAGACTGCACCGAAATGATCAAATGTCATCTTGATTAACCCAGCTACACTTCTCATTATGAACAGCCTTGCAGGTGTCAGAAGTTAATTAATACAAGCTTCTTGTTGTCATGTAAATATTGATATGTTGTTTCTGACTTTACATTAAAATGAAATCCCTTTATGGCTTCACCATCCGCTGCTGTCAAATGTAGCTACATCGCTGTTTACATGCATGCTGAACACAAGTGACTGTGAAGAGCATTAAATATAGCTGCATTAAATGAAGCAAGGAAAATGAACAAAAAAAAATAATAATAATAATTCTGTGATTGCTGGGTTGTTAGCAGAGGTAACAGTCAGCAGGATTCAGAAGCCAGTTCAACATGAAGCCTGATGAAAAGCCCTTGAATCATTCCCACGGCATCATGTTTTCTAGCTGCTAATTCCTGACACCATATAGAGTAACAACCAAATTACTGTAATTACCCTGAAATGTAAGTGGCATATCAATATTATGTTAAACACTGATTTTTGTAAACTCTTTCATTATTATTCAGTGTTTTGAAAGGAAAACAAAAAAATAGTATCAACCTGTGGTCTCTGTTTGGAAGCTGAAGAGCTTGGAAAAAATATCCCCGTTGGGTCTTGCTGTTGTTGTTTTCATATGGGAACATAAAATGACTCTATAAAGGAATGTGGCTTGCATTTTAAATACTCAGACAATTCATTCAATAAAAGAAAATCCACATCTTCTATTGACATAAGATGATATAAAGGCAGTGAAGCTTCCCTAGACAATTTGGCAGCAGATTTCCAATACAGTGGACTACAGAAATGGTGCAATTGTTGTAAGAGCATTTATATGATCATGCATATGTTATGCAAATAATCAAATGTGAGCTTATCAACGGACTACCAAGATGGAACTCTTGTAATAGTTCATATTCTTAAATGCACAGAGCTGCCACCATAGTTCTATCATTATTCAGTGATAATAGAATTAATATTCCAATATATTGCTATGAGCCACCTTCAGTTTTACTATTAATTTCTATTGGCACTCTCTCTAAGAATGGTATCAATCAGGTTCTTTGCTGAGAAGTTCCTTCTCAGTTGTAGACCTCTGACACCCTCAGTGATGGTCTCAATGGTCCACACAAGAGATGTGGCACACGAGATCTGAAAAAGCCCACCAATAAATCTCTTTTCCTAAGGCTGCTCTTGAGCAAAAGCAGCTTGAAATTTGTGGCTCTAGATCTAACAGCTGCAAATGCAAGTAGCATCTTCAGGCTGCCTGCTCAGCAGGAAGAAGGCAGAAGCAGAAGGGTGGTAGCAGCTCCTGATGCCACTCTGTTCTGGAGACAGAAGTTAGGAATTGGCTCCATGCTGTAGGTTGGTATTTCACAGGACCCATGATAAAACCTTACTTGCCATTCCAAATAGAAGGATACCAATACATTAATGTGTGTATATATTTCTTAAGAAGTAAACATCACAAATGAACATTAACCACCAAAATTACGTAGGCCACTCTGAAAGTAATGCCTCCTATTTATTTCCATGAAAGCAATAGATAAAAAGAGCACAATAGCACTGTTTGACAGAGAAATTTCTCAGCTACTCAACACCAATTTTCAACCATTCCCATTGCATTCCTACCAGCAATGAACAAGAGCTTGCATACTGTGCTCTTAAAAACCTGCACCAGCTGAAGCAACCCACTGTTCCACAGCTGCTATGATGGTGTTGCTAGGAAAATGTTGCCCACACAGTCCATCTTTCCTCAACCCAAACAGAGAGAAGTCAGAAGGCAAACTATATGGTGGGTATGGTAGGACAGTCCAGCCAAGACTGACAGTGGACTCCGTGGTCTTCAAACTGGTGTGAGGCCTGGTGTTCCTGTGTAGCAGGAGAAAAGTTGACTTTTTTGCTGGCCTGACTCTGGAAGTTTGAGCCTTCAGCTCAGCCAGTGTTGCTGTGTAGCAGTCAGAGTTTACAGTTTGTCCGGGTTCAAGGAAATTCCAAAGGATCACCCTTTTCCCACCCCAAAAGAAAGTACATCACTTCACCCACTGAGGGCTGCATCTTTTTTCTTCTTCAATGGGGAATTCATATGTCACCTCTCCATGGCCCCAGCTTGTAGTGGGGCCATACATCTCCTAGTAATGATGCAATCCAGGAGGCTGTCTCATTCAGCCTCTTATTGGTTCAGTAGGTCCTGACCAACTTGCATATGGCATTCTTTCTGTCCCTGTGTGAGCATCTGGGGGACCAAGCTAGTGCAAACTTCGTAATATTTCAATGTTTCAGCTCCAATATTCAGCTCCAAACACAGTTCCATGGTTATAATCTGCTGATTTTCGTGGATGAGCTGATCAAGACGCTCTTCATTTCATGGTGTGACAGCTGTATGTGGCCATTTGGAACTTGGCTTATCTTTCACATTGCTGTCACAATTGCTGAAACGCATCACCCTCTGGCTCACTGAGCACACATCCACTGTTCAGTCTCTATACACGTTCAGCAAGCATCAGTCAATGTCAGTAGTGCAATTTTTGCCACGTGAAGGAATTCAGCGGCACACCTTTGCTTCACGTGCACTTCCATGTCAGACACCATTCTGTCAGACTGCCCCTCTGCTGCCATCTGTTGCACAGCAACAAAATGGAATGGAATACTGATGGGAAGGTTCAGCCACCACTGCCATCCCTCCAACATCTGCTTCTGAAGTAGTGGGCCAATGTAATAAAATAGAAGGCATTACTTTTGGAACAGCCCTCAAATATTAGTGCCTGGAGTTTTTACTCCCCAGGTGCAAGACTTCTGCTTGTTGATTTTCATGAGGTTCCTGCCAGCCCATTTCTCCAGCTTATCCAAACCCCCTGGAAAGCAGCACAGCCCTCTGGTGTACCAGCTAATGCCTCCAGTTTTAGATCATCAGCAAATCTGCTGAACTGAGAGTTTAGATCAAAATAGTTGTCTAGACTTCTTGCTGATATAGTAGTAGGACAGAAGTCAAAGTGAAATCAACACCACTCATATCTACCAGGTACTTAAAATACGGAGATAATATTTACAGTTTTAAAGTGAAGTACATTTCATACCTTTCAGCACGTTTTTATACAGCTTACTGAAGAACTAATCCTGAGCCAACTTTGCATGACTTTGCAGGGTGGGTAAGTTCTTTCAAACTTAGTTTGTTCCTGACCAAACAGTGCAAGGAAGGCAGGCCCACTACAGCAGGAAAAGAGTGAAAGTCTGCTTTTCAAAAGAGACTCCCATAAACAATCTTCTTTCTTCCTTCAGTCCTATCTATACATCCACATATGTCTGTCACCTATTTTGAAATAATGCTCTTGAAGCTCCAGGAGTGTGGACCAACACATTATGTAGCTGGGTTTCTTCATTTCCTATTAGCAAGGTTCTTACCTTTGTAGGGCAGGGGGAGGGGGAAATGCATAGGTGTGCCTGGAAGGCAGTCTTTTTTCTTTCACTTTTTTCTCTCACAGCTGCCAGCTCTGAGATACCAGCTGGTGACTGCTCTGAAGCTGCCTAGTTGTATTTTTTGCCTGGTGTTTAGTATTCAAACAAGCAGATATGTAACAACCTAACGGTGTTTATTTTAATTCCATTACTAATAGTAGATAGCATAACGTTGCCCTTCTGGAAAAAAAAGCTCTTAAATACTGAAAAATAAAGACAACAACCATAAATTATTTCTGTTCTACAAATAGGTGACATTCATGTTACTGGTATTTATTATTTGCAGTAAGGTGGCTCATAGCTGCTTTGTCACATCGTGCCCAACACAAAAACAGAACAAAAATAATCCCTGATGCCCCAAAATCTTGTAACCTAAAAGACTGCAAACAAGAAGAAGAGAAAACAGAAAAGGGACAACGGGGAAAGGAGACAAATCAACAACACAACATAACAGCCACAGTTAACCAGCTGCTTAGCTGCTGACAGACATGAGAACCAAGTTTGAAAATGAAATCTTCAATTAATAGCACAACTGCAGCTAATTGGAAATACACCCTATTCTTTAGCCTTTCAGAATTTGAAACCTACGTCCCACAAACCTGTTTCAAAGAGAGCCTCCAAGGTGCCAACAGCATACAGTCCAAGGTGCTAACAGCATACAGTCCAGCTCTCCTGAATCAAAAAACACCAGCCACCCATCTCCAAAGCAGATACATTCATTTGCTTTTTCTTACCAACATAAACCTACGTTCTCTTCCAACCTTTTTGAAAGCTGCTCAGAAGCTAGAAATAAATGCAATTTGAATCTAGCTAGAATTTTAGAATATGGATACCTTCTGGAATGCTTGACTCCTTTGGTACTTCGAGAACATCTTCAGGATGTGGTTTACAGAGTCCATGGAAAAGCCGTAGATCAAAAGACTCACGTAACAAGGAAATGTCTACTTGAGAGCATAAGCTCATGAATCCCACTACAGTGCCACCATCCTGAAATATAACAGCAGTATCACACGCATGCACAAGATGACCAGGTACTTTTAGATCAAGTAAAAAAAAAAAAAAAGCAATGATTTGCAGAGGGATTGGAATTATTTATATGGACAAAATTATGATCTATCGTTTCAATAAAACACCTTTTAACAAGAAATCTCCAAAAAGAGTGTAATTTTTCTTTAACTTAAAGCGCAGCTAAAGTAAAATCTGGATTTAGCTAACCAGAGTGTTTGACTTATTACCAAATGTTATTCTGTAGATAAAATCGTGCTTACACTGAAAAGTATATTTTATTTTCCCATGGAAATAATTAAAAAAAACAATTGTACTGTATATAAACAGTTCTTTTACAATATATCATACGTATGCTATAGAGGAATTAAAAGCACTGAATATTTTCAAGTCCTGAAAATATCTTAAAACCAGCCTTTAGAAAAAGTAAATCCTGTCAAGTATGAAAACGAACCTCGCAATGCTGAAACAGCATCACTCTCTACATTTGATTATATTACAGAAAGTTTCCAGAAAGTTGTACTGTTGAGAAACAAAATGACTGTGGGAAATCAGAACTAGAATGTTGGTGGGTTTTGGCTTAAGCTAAGACCAGTCTAAAAGTAGGAAGCTATTCAATTTTTTAGTACCATATTCAACTTTCCCATAAAACAATCAAAATATTTTTTCCTTAATACACATAATGAAGGCATCTTTTATAAATGTAAAGAAAACTCACAGGTTGGATCTGTATGACCATTCTATTCCGCCATCAGCACTCCAATAAAAATAATAATAATTAAAAAATCGAGTTCAATTTTTTTCCCAAACAACAAGTGATTGTTTGTTTGCCTTGTTTGCGTAACTGAACAAAAGCTGGGTTGCTGCAGTTGTCTGGCTGCTGTGTAATTTTAGGCCCAAGGCTCAGCAGAGGCTGATTAACCAATCCATCTACCATATGTGCAAAAAGAGGTTGCCAGCTTCATTCTCTGCAGGGAAAATTGGCATCTATCTTGGTTCGCATGGAGGTGCCTTTCCAATCTGCAGCAGCAGCAGCAAGTATAAACCATGAGGGTCTGAAATACCTTTTGCTGGTATCATATTGAGCTATAAATGTACAATTGAAATGTATTATTTATAAAGATAGCCATCTGTAATGTGCTATTACACTAATGGCTTATTGTTTCCTATTTGGCTTCCAATGGCAGTGATTACATGTTAAGGTTTTATAAAATCATTTGCTATAGAAGGCAGACTTCTGGAATTAAGTAGGTTATGCTGCCTATCAGCTTAAAATACCACATACAATTACTAACTCATGAAAGTATTAAGAGGAATTTTCAGTGTGATAACTTTTACCACCTCTATTTGTTATTTAAATTAATTCCTGAGTTTCTGCCCTCAATTCATCAAAAGATCTGACTGCCCGAGCCAAGAGATGGAACTAAAAAAACAAAACAGCACTTTCCACTGTGAAAACATTACTGGCTACAAGTTCTCAGACGCAATATTAGTTTTTACAGAGAATAAAAATTGGTCATCCATAATGCAAAACATCAAAAACAGCAACTTGCTTTTTTCAGAATGGCCTGTTTCAATCACTTGGAAAGAATCCATGCAATTACTGGGAACTGCTCCTTCATTTACTTAACAGTAGATACCACTCCTAAAGAACTGACATACACAAAGAAAGTGGCAGAGGGCATTGTGTGCGTGCAGATTGTGAATGGTACCTTCCAAAAGTGAGCTTGTTCTTTTTATTCACTGAGCTGCAGCATGAGCTGTCACTCACATATGACTTCACTAACATGATGATTAGATCCATCTAGAGCACGTGACAGACTGACCTCACAGACAACAGCTTGATTTTCTTCATCTTGACACGCTATGATATCAGCAAGGAAATATTCACTATGGGTTTCTTTCAGAATCTCATTCTGACGCGTCCAGATTGGCATGAGATCATCAAAATCTTCCAACCTATGAAAAAGAGATCATGTAATGTCCTAACAGCTCTCGTATTAACAGGTGCTGATACTTCTGTTCTCCTCTGTTAGCACACTGACAAATATTAAGAAAATCTCATCCAAAGCACCTACCTGTGAAGAAATAATTTCGCCTCTGACAGATACTACTTCTGGAGCCTCAAAACCAGAGGCACTTTCAAAATGCCACCCACCTCAGATCTGGATTGCCCTATGGAGATGCCTATTTCTAAAAAATAACCAAGAGAGCAGCCCTGTTCAAAATTATCTCACCCAAGGCATCTCAGGCTGAGTGGACATGGGCTTTTGGCCTCATTTAAAATAATTACATTCTGTGAACTCGATCAGTTAGAGCTGGCAGTGACCTCAGAAAGCTACATCAATGCAATTTGGAAAATCTCCATTTTTCTTTCCTTTTCCTTTCTTCTTTCCCTTCCTTTCCCTTTTTGTTCATTTCCCTTTCTTTCTCTTTCCCTTTCCCTTTCTTTCTCTTTCCCTTTCCTTCTCTTTCCCTTTCCCTTTCTTTCCTTTTCCCTTTCCCTTTCTCTTTCCCTTTCCCTATCTTTCTCTTTCCCTTTCCCTTTTTCTTTTCCTTTCCCTATCTTTCTCTTTCCCTTTCCCTTTTTCTTTTCCTTTCCCTTTCTCTTTCCCTTTCCCTTTCTTTCTCTTTCCCTTTCCCTTTTTCTTTTCCTTTCCCTTTCTCTTTCCCTTTCCCTTTCTTTCCCTTTCCCTTTCCCTTTCCTTCTCTTTCCCTTTCCCTATCTTTCTCTTTCCCTTTTTCTTTCCCTTTCCCTTTCTCTTTCCCTTTCTTTCCCTTTCCCTTTCTCTTTCCCTTTCCTTCTCTTTCCCTTTCCCTTCCTTCTTCTTTCCCTTTCCCTTCCTTCTTCTTTCCCTTTCCCTTCCTTTCTCTTTCTTTCTTTCTCCCTTTCCCTTCCTTTCTCTTTCCCTCTCCCTTCTCTTTCCCTTTCCTTTTTCCTTCCCTGCCTTCCCCTCCCTTTTCTCTTCCCTTTCCAAAAAGACCCAACCAAATAATGCCTTTTTATGCGGGAGAAGTAGTGCTGTATATTGACTAGATTACTGTTATTACACACAACAGTGTGGGGGTCAACTGGCAGAAATCAAGCTATTATGCCTTTGCAAGGCATTTGTTAATGCTCCATCACTGAAAAAGACACAAAGGCCAAAGTGCAATTACTCCATCCCTCTGCCTGCTGAAAAGCCTTCTGCACAGGCGTGATCCTGCAGCATCAAGGCTGTGTGTAGAAACATCTAACCTCAACCTCCCCTCTTTCAGTTTGAAACCATTCCCCCCTGCCCTACCGCTGTCACACCGTGTACGAAATCTGCCTCCCTCCTGTTTACAACCTCGGTGAGCCCCGGGCCGCCCGGCCGGGTCTCGGCTGCCCTCTGGCGGCTCGGAGCGCCAGGCGCGGGGGCTGCAGCTCCATCCCAGCCTTACCGGGGGCCTCCCTAAAGTAAGATGACACTAGAAAAATATTTTCAAACAGCGCTGTTCTTTCGAAGCGTTACACACTGTAGAAACACGTTTCTGAAGATCGTTATCGGGAACGATTATTAACAATTCCCTGGGTTTTAGGAAGAGTCGTATTTTGCTTCGGGCTCCCCTTGCGCTCGTCTGTGCGTGCTTGTACCGAATTCTAGGCACAGAATTTGGAACCCTGGCCTCTGCAGTTCAGTGACACAAAATAAACCCATCCTAACTGTCACTCGTGGTACTTCACAGCAGCCTTATAGTGAGCCAAAACTTCAGTTTCTAATTTGATGCAGTAAGGTGCCCCAGTGCTGACAGACCGACATCGGAACGATGGAGATGGGCAGCGGTGCCTGAGTGCCCTCACTGCTCCTATGCACCACAATGAATGTGACCTTCTGAGCCAGCTTACCTCTCTACCAGTGACCCCTTTCATTTGGACATTTTTTCTTCAGTTTTATTCTCCGGCCATCTGCCTGAAAGCTCTCTTCTTACTCCCATTGCTCAGAGATAAGAACCTCTCCATCTCTGATCCAGTTGCTCTGACCTCTTTCTGCTTAGGTCAGCCAAGTGGCTTCTTGGGGCTGCATGGACAGTAAGAGAGCTGTTCCAGCCTGCCAAGAGTATCTGTTACATATGCCTTCCTAACTGCCTTTTTAGCAGGGTGAATAAATGCTTAACTTGTGACCTTTAGGATGCCCCGACTCGTAGCGCTGTTCCATCTGCCAGGAGTTTTTATAATTTAATTCTCCTTCCGAAGGGTAACCACCAGATTCTCTCATTCAGTTTCTAAACTGAGAAAGCCAGCTTGAGGAACCAAGGGAGATGAATATTGTGACTGTTCACTCTAAATTGAAGACAGATAGCAAGATGACAAATGTTCAAGCCACGTGGTTTTTCATTCATTTGCTCAGTTAAGACACTATAAATCACTCGTCCATAGTATTCATTCAAAAGCTGCAAGTAAAATGAAGCTCTATAACACTGGAAACAAACATTATTAATTCATATTCTTTATATTTCGAACTCAAATAGCAGTTTTTCTCTTCTTCCCAGACAATATCTCAAGGGAAAAATAGCAGAAAAGTTTTCTACTGTCAGAGTTTTACTATTTCCACATAATAACGAGGACCATTCCAAAAAGAAATGCCTTCTATTTTATGATGATGGCCCACAACATCAGAAGTGGATGTTGGCAGTATGGCAGCAGAGGCTGAACCTTCCCAACAGTGCTCACCTCCACTCATGCAGATATTTACAAGCATGGCATGCAGGCTCTTGTTCATTGCTGGCAAAAATTCATAGTTGATGGTGGTGGCTATGCTGAAAAATAGTGGTTTGTAGCTGAGGATGTGCTCTATCTGGACTGGGCGATCCTTGAGTCTTTTCTAACCTTGGTGAGTCTATGATCCTATGATTCTGTGATTCTATCAAATAATGCTACTGAGCTCTTTGTGAATGTTGTCATTTCCATGTAAACAAATAGAAGGCATCACTTTTCATTTACTTGTCATCTCCAGGTGCAGATGACAATTCTGCAGACTTGTGGTACTTAGGGAGGCTGCAATACAAAGCCAAAGGCATTCAGTGGGCTCTGCATAAGCCTCATCATCTCCCTGCATACTAAGAGTTGTAGGAACAAAACTAGCTTTGATTTCTGCAGTCCCCCACCAGCACCTCAGATGTTGTTTTTTTTTTTTTAAACAAGCAAACATAAAAAGAAAATAAGAAAAAAGACCACACTACTTGCCTTAATATAAAAATATTATGAAATTCCTAGACAGAGAACAAGCACAATAAAGACTTCCACAGAGCTGCAAATTTGTGCTGACTTACGTGGATAGCACAAAACAAGAAAGAGGATCTAAAGATGAGGTATCAGCAAGAAACTTAAATGCAAAAGCTTACTGGAGTGGGTTCAGACACACTACAGTTTTATTATGAAGGTCAGATAGAGAACAACATGAAAATTAATGGTTAAGCAAAGTATCAGTTTACAGCTTCCTCTCGCAGTAAGAAAGGGAAGAGGGAACACAGATTGCCTTAATCTCCTATCATTGACCCAGAACATGTTGCTAGGCAGGTGTCTGTGGACAACTTCCATAGATGAATCTCTAAAGGGCTCTACTGAATGTTACTATGGATGCCAGTGAAGTACAAAGGTAAAGGAAAGGAAAAGGAAAGACAAAACATCTTCTGCAAATATAGATTCTCTGAGTAAGACAAATTGTGTTATCCATACATCTGTATTTGTATGAATATTACATAACTAGGTACTGTGTAATTAAAAAGAAAGAAGCTGTTTCCTGGTTAGTTTTCTAGGTTTTGTTTTTCATAAAAGTAAATTGGTTTTATTATTCACAAACAACTGCAGGGAAGATGGTATCTTTATGTGTTACACTGGTACAGCTCGCTTCCCACTTCCAGTCATGGCAAAAATAGTTTCTACTGGCAATGTCTGACAGTCATAAAAAAAACAAAAAACGTGTTTCAAATTAAATGGAAAACATAATAGTCAAAATCAAGGGGTGGGGAAAAACTTTAAAGCCTTAGAAATTAATTCACTTACTGATAATGTGTTAGTATCAGTGGTTCATTTGCATAATGACAGCTGATAGATGTCTCAAGGTAAAACCTTTTTAAAAGCCTGAAAAGTTCAAGTTAGTATGCAAATGATTTTGTGACCAAAATATCCTACCAACAGTAAAATGCTTTGAAGTGGTCATGGTCTAGTCTCTGTCCATTACCTTAAAATGTTCAAAAGCCAAGTTACTGGACATTGCAAACACTGAATAAAATAAAACTGTAGGATAAAGAGCACTGTTTCAGTCCTATCTGGTAAAATGATAGATTTGTAAAATATCTCTCTGTGAGATCTATTAGCATTCAGTCCAAGATGCTAGCACAAACTAATCCACAAATAGGTGTAGATTTACTAAGCAGACAGAGATTCCTAATGAGGCAGTACCTTCCATTAGCACAGGTCAGTATGGACCACACATTACATGATAGAGCCTCCCAGGGACATGCTTGTCCCTAAATTTCAATTGCTATTACAAGGATCAGAAACACTTCTTAAATCATGGTACTGCTACACAAGCACAAAGCAGCACTTACTAGCACAAAGAGAAACAACTCCAGAAAGAATCAAAATTATTACCTCATTAAACATTACCCTGCATGTGCCCTTAGCAACATGAAGAAGAAAACAACTGAATCAAAATGTGAAAGATGCTAGTTTTACTGTGACCATGGTACCAAGAAGGTACACAGTGCTGACAGCATATGTAATCCAGCAATACATACAGAAAAATGCCCTAATTGGGGCTGAATCTGCATTTCTCACTTACTGTACTCAGTGCTGGCACAAGCCCAGAAAATTGTGATTTGGCATAAACAGCAGTGGCAGGAAAAAACGCAGTGGTAAGGTCAACATACAGGTAGACATCAATAGATTGATGACATCAGCTAGAGAAACTTGCAGCTGTGCCTGCTGTACACTGTTGACAGCAGAGCAGATAGACTGGTTTTTTCTTCTTCAATTTTTAAAGATCTTTATGGCTTGAATCCCAAAACAACAGCAAGGCTGTTGATATGTGATATGTGCAAGCATATCATAAAAGAAAAAAAAAAAAACAAAAACCCCAAACCACAAAACTCATTGCACCAGGCTGCAGGTATTGAAATATGCAACACTGTTAAAATTTAAAAAAATAATAAATTACTCCATTATTTTCTTAAACTTTCTCAACAACACTGATGAGGCAAGCTCCCCTGGAATATAGTGACAGTAAATGTATGAAGTGCCTATACAGAAAAACTGTATGAAAGCAGAAGGAGAATTTCTGGGTCTGATAGAGTAGTGGAACCAGGGAGTCTCTACTTTTCTTTAATTCCTTTATATGAGAAACCCTCCTCTTCAGTCTTTGCTCCACTGGCCAGAACATAATACAACAACAAAAATAGTCTGAATCTGTTCCAAAAGACCTGGAAATTCTATGCAAGGCAGTAAAGCAAATATTCACAGAATAAACACAGCTAACCAAAAAAGTATTAATTTGATTTCTATAATATTGAGAAACCTGATCTATGAAAAGAATACAATTGATCTCATGATAAAGAAGGAAAAGACAGCATAATCACAAAACAACTACTTAATAAGGCTTTCAAGCAGCAAAATCATGGCCATTGAGCTCATGCTTAATGGAATAGGAATTTTTTTAATTAATTCAGACAAAAAAGTAGATGTGAGAAAACTGCACTACCTTGCTTTGCGAATATGCAGCTGTGGGTGATGCTGATGTCTGGGACATACAAGCAAAGTGAAGGTTTTATCCACTGCTGAACCTGGAGCAGTCATCATCTTTTCAAAGACACCATCCAAGCCTGGCCCTGTGAATGACAAAAATCCATTAGGAGCAATAGTGAAGTTTCATTATTTAAACTTTTAAATTATCAGGGGAGTTATTAGAGGAAAATGAATTTTTGAACTTAAACAGTAATGCTCTTAATCTTTTAAGTAGTGAAATGGTAATGTCAGTAGCATGTTAAAGAATTGTTACTGGATTAATTTGAGGATTATTCTGCCAGTTCTACTTCCTCTACATAACCAATGTCTTTTTCTACAGTACCTTGTAGTAGACAGAGGTGGGAGCCAGCCATTAAGTGATGCTTAGCTTAACAGTCTGAATTCAGGACTGAAATTCCAAGTCAGATGCTGCTCTCAGATGCTGAGCAAGATGTGCATCTTCTCTTCTTTTGTACCTCTGCTCTAAAAGAATCCTACCTTCCTTCCACACCTCCAGCATGCCTTCTGTCCCTTACCAGTGAATCCTCTCCTCTTGCTGGACTCAGCTAAGTGAGAGAAAGTACCTGATGGGACTGGCTCAGACATATAGGTATGACACCTGACAGACAAATGCAGCTCATTCATTCATATATATATGTATGAATACATGTACACATGACTTGTTAGTCATTGCCTGCATGCACCAAGTGGTAAATATCAGTGACTGCCTGCTACAGAGCAAGCACTGATCTCAATCTCTTGACTCCACTCAGCCATAAGTATTTGCTGAACTTGTGGGAATGTATTTCTACAATCAGTTTGACACCCCATCCATTTCTGGCAGAATTAAAGACTGATGAATGAAACATGCTACTACATAAACCACTTTTACAAGGAAGGCCCATTAGAGGATACTTTAAGGTTATGGTAATGGTTATACCATTTAGAAAATGGTAACTGCTTTCAATATATATTTTTAAAAAATTATCACAGTGTAATATTGGTAATTAGTTGTCATTCTTTTAAGTCTAAAATAGTATTAAATTCTTACCTAAATTCTCATCAGCTGGTATGAAGAGAAGTATAAACTGCAGTTCTGGTATTGCAATAAAAGCTCTCCTGGACAAATAACATAACTATTTAGACTTTCATAGCTACATCAACTCATCAGCTCGTCTTTTAACGCATTAAATTTATTCTCCAGTGTCTCTAATCTTCCCCTCATGAGCCCACATGGCTCCAAAATCAAAGCATTTCATTTAACACAAGTAATATGACAAGAAAATCACCTGAGCATTTTTACTGCTTCTTTCTACCCTATTTCTCTATTTCCTAATATTCAGATTTCAAATACCCTCCTTTTTATATCAGTTCCACCATAGTGAAAACAAATACAGATGCCAGGTCTCTGCTGGCAGATCTCTGAATGGCACCAGGATGAGCTGCCTTGACACGACAAAGTTTCTAAATTCCACAGCAGCAGCACCAAATGCAATTCACTCCAGTTATGTAAGTAGATTCTAAGCTATACCAAATAACCTAATCACTGAGTACTGAGCTAACACATCGTATATTGTGCTGTTTGAACCAAATAGTTTGTAAATTCACTGTGTAATTGGTGGCTAGCAAATGAGCTAAAGATGATCTGGGAGCAACCATACTCCAGAAACATTTATAGCTTTTGAAGCTTCGTGCTCAATCATGGAAGTTTAGAGTGGAAATTTAGAAAAGAAAAAAAATAAGTAAATTCAATGTGTCTTGCAACTGCAATCCTGATAGCAAACAATGGGAGCAGACTGCACATGCTTCACTACAGGAAGTTATATATTAACTCACCTGATGATTTCTTGGGAACACCCAGCTGCATATTCCTCTTTTGCCACAAACAGATGCATGAACAGAGTGTTCAAAGGCTACAATATGAAGAATAAGAACCTAAACACCATGCATTTCATATTTATTGTCTGCCCAGGTGTTAATATGTACATTTCCAATATCTCAGACCTGCCCTCAAAGTGCATGTATGAGTATTTCATTGCCTTCAAAGCATGTGCTCTACAAATAAAGGATGGTTTCAATATTATGATTTTTGCTTATGCAAAATTTTAAAATCTGATTCATGCTCAAGCTTACTGTTAGAATATATTTCAGATACATCTTTTAAAAAAAATTTTTTGTGTGTGTGTGTGTCAACTAATAACATTTTACATTAACCACAACAATCAACAACTAAATCTTAATGTTTATTTAATAAAGACATTCTTTCGTTTCTTGCCAGGTTTAAGGAAAGAAAAGAGAGAAAGACCTCACAACTAAAATTGTTTTTCCCTTAAAGGATATGGGAGAATTACAAAATCTTTGGAGTGCATATTTGAATATCCAGGCAGAAACAGAACTGACTAAAAGATGCTTTTTTCCTTCTTGCCAGTTAGCCTGCAAAACACATTGCAGAAAGGGAATCTCATCAGAACACATACAGTTGTTTTGCCAGTGCTTAAGCATAAAATATCCATTGAATCTTCTGCATAGATTTTAGAAAATCTGTATTCTAGAAAAACAAGGGTTGTTCTGCTCCTCATCAGTATTCTGAAGCATCTTCCACTTCTGTTTATAAGCAGCAACTGCTAACATGCCAAAGGTTTTTGTTTGTTTGTTTCCTTTTCTCATTGTACACCTCTGCATTCTGAAGTCAGCTGCAGTTTTCCTACAAGAGATATTATCAAGTAGGCAGCCTGAGGAAGGGTTTGCAGAGCCAGCAGCGCAGTGTAACACAACAGGGGCAGCTGTGCAGTGAATGAAGTGGTTGTGTCTGCAAAAAACAGTACACAAAGTACTGTTCAAATGACAAAGAAAACAGATTACAAGAAAATTGTGTGGTTCTTTTTTTCCTTTACTCCTATATAAGATGTAATAATTGTTTCTTTTAACAGCAAATGCAGCAGTTTTAAATATAATCACTGTATTTGTCAGTTTTTTTCTGCAAGCCATATTGCTTAATAATGCCCAGAACAACACTGGAAAACTGATGAACTGTCTGGAGATGATTTCAGCACTGTGAGTACTGGCTGCTAGCTTTTTGAATGTTTATAATCAACATTTTCTACCATTTCTCAGCAATCACAGGATGATCCAATTCCTAGATGGACTGAATGATGGACAACGTTCAAATGCAGAACTTCTAAGCACCTATTTCTAGTTGTACTAAGGGTAATTCACAAACTTGACTGAGGAGCCTGTGTGAAAACTGGCACCACATGGAACAGAGTGCAGCCATCTCCACACCAACAGTAAACAAGGTCACTCCACAATCAAGTCTCTCATGTCAGCATGGTCCTGTACTCAGTGTGATTAACCATCCTTCAAAGGGCAGTGTGCTCCCCATCCCTTATTCTCTCTGAATCCATTAAATTTGGATTCCATCTTGTAAAACAGCAAAACTTGATTCCAAAAGGTAAGAAATGAGAACTGCAGTTCAGGAAGGGAACATCACAGCAAGGCCTCCACCTCCTGCACAAATGCTCTGCTAGACAACACCAGAGCTGGGTAGGTTTTTGAATGAAAAATGATCACAACAGCAATAGCTCATGGTGCTCCCATTGACTGTGCAGTACATTAGAGATGTTTTGCTCTTGTCTAGCAAAGAACTTGCATTCCCTAATGGCCTCTGCCAGGATGACAGTTATCTTATGTCACTATAATGGCATAAGCACAGGTACTCATGAACTTCCTGATGGTTTACTAAGGAACCTGACAATCACCTTCCTCAGCCTGAATGCATCAACTCCACCAGAAGGAGATTTTAGATGCCTATGCATATTTTTCATAGATGAACTTTAGCTGGAAAAAAAGAAAACCAACTAAAATAATACAATTTACTTACAGTGCATTTGTTGTTAACATAGTTTTTATTTAAGAATGACTCCCAGTTGGACTGATCAGTGATATTCCAATTTGGATAGTCAAGAAAGATGGCGTGGGCTATAGCCTCATTCTTCTCATTGCAGAGTGTCAGAGCAAAAGTTGATTTTTCTCTGTAAAAACAATTTCGTTTTGCAGATTTTGAAGAAAGCACATGGGAGATTTACACTTAACCATCAGGTTTTGTAGATTTAACTATTTAACAAAAGTGAGAGGGTTTTTTGTTTGTTGTTTTGTTTTTCATACAAGAGACAAGCCTCTTGCATGTCTCAGCTCTTGAAATACATATGCAATTAACAAAATTCTTCAGTATTTCTATGGAGTGTTTACAAATGTTTGAGGTTTGTGCCTTCGCATCACTGGCATGTGCGCTCCTTATAAAGCAAGTTTTGTATTATTTTCTCCTTCTCTTCAAATTTTCATCCCCTTCCCTCCCCAGTAAATTATTGTTTAGAAATGGAAAAAGGAAAAATCACGAGAAATATTACTGAAGAGCTTCAGTCATCTTTCTTTCTCAGTTTTCAAGTTTTCCAGACCCAAACTCTACATGTGCATGTACTCACCTACGATGAGTAACACTACTGATAACTCAGCTTCTTAGAATGTCACCATCCTTCAAAGCGCTGCAAGGTCAGGTTCAATCAAACTTTATTACCCACAGCCTACCTTGACATTATTGTTTCAATTCCAAACAGTTATTTGATTCTGTTACTATAAGAGCTCATATGGTTTTTCAATCCTGAATTTAATGGCTGTTTACAAAGGTGGACAATGATAGGATAAGGGGGAATGGTTTTAACCTGAGACGTGGGAGGTTTAGGTTAGAAATTAGGAGGAAGTTTTTCACAAAGAGGGTGGTGAGGCACTGGAACAGGTTGCCCAAGGAGGCTGTGGATGCCCCATCCCTGCAGGCATTCAAGGCCAGGCTGGACGTGGCTCTGGGCAGCCTGGTCTGCTGGTTGGCAACCCTGCACATAGCAGGGGGTTGGAACTGGATAAGCACTGTGGGCCTTTTCAACCCAACCCATTCTATGATTCATTCTATGATTCTATTACTACATATTTAGCATCTAAGTGTTTTGTCTTCTTCATATTTTTCTACATACATCTGTTTTTCCTCAGGTAGTTGGTATCTGAGCTATTTGGACAAGTGGAGAAAGCCTACATGACCTAGTGGTAGTTCACACAGTTTGTCTCTATCTGTCATTCGTCACTTCATAGAAAGATGAAATGATCAACACTTTCTGTGTTTACTCCAGTAACAAAAGACTTCTGCCACCAGCCACTTCTCTGAAGGTTTTGCCATGGAAGCAGCCAGGATACAGATACATAATATCTTCCATCCATGTGTTGGCAGCTGGCGGGCAGGAAAGGTTCCCTTTCAGTAGTGAAAAAAAAAGACAAAAATTTAGATATATACACAAGAAAAGAAAAGAGAAAAACTGTGACCAAAAAGTGATTAAAATCCCTAATCCATGCCCTCTGTCCTACCACTCTGCAGTGGACAAAAAGGAATCCATTAGATGGAGCCAGGTGCTGACATCTGCTGCTGGATCCTCCTGGTTTCACCTGATAGTAGCCAAGAATATTTCATCCTAACTTTAATAAAGAGGAAGTTGTGTGAAGCCAAATCCTCCCCATTTTACCGACTGCAGTGATTCAAGCTTGCACAAAGTCTTGCACGTGTGAAGCAGAAAAGAGGTGAAAGCAGATTTCCTTCCCCTTTTTGTGCAGTGTGTGAGCAGTCATTACGCCACAGCACATCAAAGCTCAAAGTGTTTTCTGGCATCTTAAATAGAACGGAATTCCTTCAAGTTTCCTGCAAGAACGGCAAGACAAGCCCCAAAAGCACGGTACTTACAAAAGGTACGCTACGTCAATCCTTCCAAAAACGTCTTCTGTAAAACGGGTGAAGAGGCTGGCAAAAGCAGAAGCATCGCGTGCCTCTGTCCTTCTGGGACGGACCGCTTCTGTACGTCCTATAGAAGAGGTTATCGTCGTCATCTCGGCAACTGCAACAGAAAAGAAGGAAAACACTGCTGGCTCTGGCAGACCCTGCCGCAATCGCACAGTGCCGGAATCGTTAAGGGCTGGAAAAGACCCCAAAGATCAACAGGTCCAACCGCCAGCCCACCCGCACCGCTCCGTCCGCGTCCTCCGGGCCGCAAGGGGGCGCCATTCGCGACGAAGCGGGAAGCAACGAGGGGCGTGAGGGCCTGCAGGCCGCGCCCGGCACTCACCGCTCCCTTACCCGGCAGCGCGGAGCGGCGACGGTCGGCGCTCAGCTTCCCTCAGCCCCGCTCAGCACCGCCGCTACCGGGACGCGCCGCCGTTACTCCGGCAACCGCGCGCGCCGGCGCTACGTGAGGTCACAGGTCGCGGGGCGGAGCCGGCGCGGAGAGACGACAAGATGGCGTCTACGGCGGCCGGCAAGCAGCGCATCCCCAAAGTGGCCAAGGTGGGCGGCGGCGGCGGTTGTGGCGGCTGTCTGGGTGCTGCGGGGTTGGGTGAGGGTGGAGTGAGGTGAGGAGCGCGGCCGGAGCGGCTGGCTGCGCCGGACCCTGCGCTTCTCTGGGTCCTGGAGCGGCCTGGTGGGGCGGCTCCCAGTGAGGGGTCTGGAGCACAAGTGTGATGGGCAGCGGCTGAGGGAAGCGGGGCTGTTCGGTCTGGAGAAGAGGAGGCTCAGGGGAGACCTCGTGGCTCTCTGCAACTACCCGAAAGGAGGCTGTGTGAGGTGGGGTCGGCCTCTGCTCCCAGGGAACGGCCATAGGATGAGAAGTGAATGGCTTTAAGCTGTGCCAGGGGAGGTTCAGGTTGGCCGTTAGGAACAATTCCTTCTCCAGAAGTGATTCTGCACTGACACAGCTGCCCACGGAGTGCTGGGGTCACCTGGAGGTGTCCCAGAGCCATGGGGATGTGGCACCGCGGGATGTGGGCACTATGGGGATGGGTTGATGGTTAAGCTTGATTATCTTATTGTTTTTTTCCAACCTTAATGATTGTATGACTCTCAGAGAGCTTCTTGATCCCCACCTGCTAGGCAGTGGTTGTGTTGCCTGTCCCTTCTCTCAGGAGCCTCCAAGTCATTCTTTAGTAGATGCTTCCCATAGGAAGCCACTGGGCCAAATTCATCCTGGTGGGGTTTTCTAGTTTTGCATTGGAAGGGTTTCCACTTCAAACCAAATGCCCTCGCTTTACAGGTGAAAAACAAAGCGCCCGCAGAAGTTCAGATCACAGCAGAGCAGCTTTTAAGAGAAGCAAAGGAGAGAGAACTTGAACTTCTTCCACCACCTCCTCAGCAGAAGATCACAGATGTTGAAGAGCTAAATGACTATAAACTACGGAAGAGGAAGGTAAAGGAAAAAAGAAACCAACAAGTTTTACCCTTCTATAAAGTGCTGAAATTCAATATTTTCTAATATAAACAAAGTGTTATTACTTGCTCAGTTTTTAGATTAATAACTATTAATAAAAAACAAAACAAACTTTTTGTAGAAAATGTGTTATTTTTCGTGCAAAAAGTAAGTTATAAAAGTATGTTGTTTAACAAAACTTGGTAATACACATGATATCAGATCTCTGCATTCAATATGTTTGGAGCATTGCAAACGTAATTACATACATGATTTATATGCAGTTTCTTATTCACCACTAACATCATGCCAGTATGACATAACATCAGCAGTCTTTGCTGATGCTGGTAGTTTTTCCATCTCAACTTTTTGTAATTAAGAAGGCATAGAACCATACTGATTTTGCAAATGTTATTTCTATCCTTGTAGTTATGCTATTATGAGCACACGTTAGAACAAATTTCTACACTAGTTGTGTTTATGGTTTGATTATTGTCTAGGAAAAAAAAATTCTACTTGTGAGATTTCAGATATTCGTATTTTCCTTTCTTCTTTAAATAAGAGCTGCTTTATTTGTGCAAACTTAACTATAGTTTTCTTCATTTTTCTTCAATAATTTCTTCTCTGGATCAAAAGAAAGTAAAGCAAGTGTATTCTTAACAGTGAACTTGTATGTTTTCAAGTGGAATTACTCAGTTATTTTTCAGATACAGCCAATGTCTACAGATTTTTGTTGTTGTTCTGTAACAAGTCACTGCGTGTTAACTGTGTTAAACCATGTTTGACTGTGGTTTATATAATGGTAGTATTGATCCTGACAGTAGCCAAATGCAACACTGGAAATACTGTCACCATTGCACTGAACTGTGGAAATTGCTTAGGACATTTGATGCCAGAATAGTAAATCCAGGGAATAATCATAAGATTAAAGAAAACCCTAGAATGTTGCACAGATGTCAGAGTAAACTCATGCTGGTGCAAATAGATATATTTAGGATTGTACAATGATTGGATTCCATCTTTTCAGCTATTGCTATTGAAACAGTTAATCAGGAGACTGGAAAAAAGTTAAGAAAGTAGTTTTAGTATAATTGGTGGTTATCCTATCAGTGTTCCGGGTATCCACCTGCAGAAACTCGAATGTAGACCTTATCCATATGACAATCAACATTTCTAGCTGTTCTGCTATGCAGTTTTTAGAAAGTGTTGTATTGAATAGCTATTGTTACTACTATGTGTAACACATAATTATTCTAATAATAATAATCTGTAAATCTTTTATGAAAAGATTAGTCTGCGCCGAGGATGTTTTTACTTACAGAAATAACTTTCTCCTCAGACTTTCGAAGATAACATAAGAAAAAACAGAACTGTTATCAGTAACTGGATCAAGTACGCACAATGGGAAGAAAGCTTGAAAGAAATACAGAGGTAATTATGGTATAGCTGTAGATCTCTTGTAAACCTCTTAAGACACAGGCTGACTAACGCTGTCAGTGTTTTGGAGGCACATTATAAGCTCAGCTTCTCTTTGCTTTCCAGAGCCCGTTCCATTTACGAGCGTGCTTTAGATGTAGACTACAGAAATGTCACCCTTTGGCTGAAATATGCAGAAATGGAAATGAAGAACCGCCAGGTTAATCATGCCCGAAACATTTGGGATCGAGCTATTACCACCCTCCCCAGGGTGAACCAATTCTGGTATGTTTACAGAGAATGGAGCATTGCTTTTACCCCAGAGAGGGTGGATCGTTTTTATATCTCTACATAATGCAAAAGTATATTGTATTCTCTTTCTGTAGTTCTTTAGGCTGAAGTAAAAGCTTAATTTTTGAAAGGTTGTGTAGTTACGGAATGGTAAGGCTGTTGCTCTCATCCTTACCTGAGAAGGATGTTTGTGTATGTGCATGCTGCCAGTCACAGCAGTATCTACAGGCATTTCTGGAGTGCAAGTGGGGAATACATGGTAGAAGTGCCAGTGATGCTCTTATTAAGCACTTGAAAAATCATTGTAATTTGTATTTACTAAGTGCTTGTAAACACTAGATCTTGTTTTCTAAGGTATAAGTACACTTACATGGAAGAGATGCTGGGGAATGTTGCTGGATCACGTCAGGTGTTTGAGCGCTGGATGGAATGGCAACCAGAGGAGCAAGCTTGGCATTCCTATATTAACTTCGAGCTGAGATACAAGGAGGTGGATAGGGCACGTACCATTTATGAAAGATATATCCTTTTTAGTGTGTTGTGACTCCTATTCAAATTTAGGCGTGAACTCTTCCTTTTGTCCCTACTCTACACCAGCTCCTTTTTACTGTGATGTGCTGGGAGTAAGCCACTATACTGAGAGCCTGCAGTAGGTCTTAAACACGTGTTTAAATAAATGTCTCCAAATGTAGTTAAATGTACAGATCCTGCTACAACAGGGAATGCTTAACAGCACCCGCACCTCTAGATGATTTTGTAGGCATAATTTGTTCCATTTTTCTCCTTCCTAGCCTTCTCCCTGACTCTTGCCTGACTTTTTATTCCTTTTATTAAGATTCGGGTTTACAGTACCCGATGTGGTACCTTTGCATGGTTGGAGCTGCTTAATGGCTTCTTCCCAGTTGTGTTACTTGAATATGTCATTCTTAGGAGTTGTTCTGTCTGTGCTCACTGGGAAGGATGCAATTTGAGAGATTCAATTCAACTGCTACTGTTTCTTTAACATAGCTCTACTCGTTATTGTCCATCCTGATGTGAAAAACTGGATCAAGTATGCCCGCTTTGAAGAGAAGCACTGTTATTTTGCTCATGCAAGGAAAGTATACGAGAGGGCAGTGGAGTTCTTTGGAGAAGAGCATATGGATGAGCACTTGTATGTGGCTTTTGCGAAGTTTGAAGAGAACCAGAAAGAAGTAAGGCTTTCTTACATCAGGCTGATACTAGCCACCTCCACAAGATTTCTTTCTGAGTATCAAACTCAAGGTCCCTTAAGAAATTCAAAACATTCTGTGAACCCCAAACTACAGACTCTTAAAAATACTTTCCAAACCTGTAAATGAGTAAGTGATAGAAAATTTTGGTATTAACAGATTTTTCTTCTTTGTTTTTCTTCAGTATTACCCTCCAGGGAGATCTGTGTTAGTCCTCTCCTAAAAAGATCATTTGCATTAAACATTGTTAAAAGATCAGTGAGATACTAAAACATTATGAGATAGGAGAGTAGTTGCATTCCAAATACAATTCAAATGACATTTAATATTTTCAGTTTGAAAGAGTAAGGGTGATCTACAAGTATGCCTTGGATAGAATTCCAAAACAGGATGCCCAGAATCTCTTCAAAAATTACACCATCTTTGAGAAGAAGTTTGGAGATAGAAGAGGTATTGAAGATATCATTGTCAGCAAGAGAAGATTCCAGTATGAAGAAGAAGTGAAGGTACGTATTACAAATATTTTCTGGGCTCATCATGGAAGTGAAGACACTTTAACCCACCTCCCTTCCATAGCTCTAGCTTAAGCATACTTGAGACAGTTTTTGCTGGTATTGCAGTGACTAGTTTTAAAGGGGAAATTCTGAATAAAAACTAAAACAAAGGAAAAAGTTTTGTTATTTGCAGTTAATTAAGTTTCTTTCCCGTTTCTCTACTCCCATCTTTCTGGAAGGCAAATCCACATAATTATGATGCCTGGTTTGACTACTTGAGGTTAGTTGAAAGTGATGCTGATGCAGAGACTGTCCGAGAAGTGTATGAAAGAGCCATTGCTAACGTCCCCCCAATCCAAGAGAAGAGATACTGGAAGAGATACATCTACCTTTGGATCAACTATGCATTATATGAAGAGCTGGAGGCAAAGGCAAGTAGTAAGAACTCACTTTGTGTAAGAAAAGTAGTTCAGAAAGAAAAAAAGTAGCTACAGGTACTTGTAGAGATCTAAGAGCAACAACAACAATCTGATTTGTTTTATGTTAGCTACAGGGTTTGCTATTTAAGCATTTACACCCTATACATATGTTTTGATTTGTGTGAAATAGCCCTTCCCTTCTATGAGGAGAAAAGCATTTGTTTTGCCCTGATGCATGCAGAAACTAACTGATAAAAGCAAAAACAGCTCTTTCTAGCCCCATCAGAATTTCCTTTTCCAGACTGTTGCCTGAACTTGTGCCAATACTGGTACAAATGGTATATAATAAATAGTGTAGGTATTTCTTCTGTTTTTTTATCAGTTAGGTAGCATAGTATTACAAATACAGCAATATTTCAAATAGCATAACAGAACTATTTAAGTTGTTCTGTGAAGCAGTCAAGTTATTGGTACATTTACCTTCTGAGGCTTTGTCTATGGTGTTACCAGTCCTGTCACACAGCTGCATTTGATTTCATAAAGTCATAGTTCAGTATAGCTGTTCAGTGTCCTGTAAAAGAAAAAATATTTTTTTCCCCTAACTGACAGCACTGATGGTTTTATTGGCTCATTCTTAATGAGGTGTTTTTTTTTAAGACACTTACTGATCCTTAGAATTTACCATCTTTGAGTTGTGCATACACATACATAGATACATATTAAGTATACGTGATTCTAAACTCCTGTACTTAAAAAATACTGTTCTACAGTTCGACAATCATTGTGTGATTCAAAATGGTGTAATTACTGTAATGTAATCTGAGTAGTGAATGAAGAACTTAACTTTTTGTTTAATTTTGCCTTTTCTTTCAGGATCCAGATCGAACCAGACAAGTTTATCAGGCATGTATTGAGCTCCTTCCACACAAGAAGGTATGGCTCCTACAACAGTTCATATAAAGGCTTATGTTGTAAACTGTAAGATTGAGATTCTTTAATTTCTCTCTCAAATTACTGGTTCAGAAGCCCCTTCAATTGTCTTTAGATAAGTGCAGTGAGGGCTGTGAGGCTGAGATGCGTAAGCCTCTCCAAAAAGCTGCTAATGCATTTTTGCACAGCCTGCTCTCAAACAAGGGAGTTGTTTATCCAAGATCCTCTGTGGACTCCCTTCTACTTTTGCAAAGTTGATCTTCTAAAATTGATAGTATTTCCCCTGTAAGTTAAGGAGTTAGAGAACTGCAACTTGCGTAGTCAGTGGGAAACAGCAGGCCACGCATCTGTGTCAGATTTCCTCATACAGACATGAAGCCAGTGTTTGATCAGCATTTTAAAATCACCAGGAGTGCTATAAAAAGCTGAAATACCACCTACATAGAGAATAGTTTAGTACTGTTTAATAGTAGTAGAGAATATCTTCTCTCTTCTTTCCCTTGTTTGTTTTCCTTAGAAAGGCTGATCCTTTCCTAGCTGCTCTCAGCCTGGTTGCCTGTTGTCTCTACAAAATATTTGTTACTCAATTTTACATAAGGTTACTGCCTTTTGTAGTAACTTTGTAGTTGGTGGTGCCCACTGAGGAAGGTGCATTTCATAAACTGTCATGAAGGTGTATCCCCCATAGCTGATGTAGTTAGTCAATCAGTTGATTGATAAAATACTTTATTTGCCTGAAAAGATTTCTGTCCTGGCTATTTTTATTTCACATCTATAGGGGGATAAATTACCTTGATGTAGAGGTTGTTTTGGGTCACAAATTCTCACTTTTCCAACAGAAAAACACTGAGGTCAAACGCAACTAACTGCAGTATTGATAATGTGAGTTCATATAGATGTAGATGGTGGTGTTCTGTAAAGAACGCATGCAGAATTATTTACTGAGCTTCCAATCCATGCATCACGTTGTTCTTTTTCTTTCAGTTTACATTTGCCAAAATATGGCTGCTGTATGCACAGTTTGAAATACGACAGAAAAATCTTCCACTTGCTAGAAGAGCTTTGGTAAGCTTTGGTTAATTCTGTAATTGATTTCCCTAACTAATAGTAACTAAGGAATGGCATTAAAAGTCTTAAAAATTGTCCTTTGTAAATTGCTGTTTTTAATCCACTTAAATAAAGCTTCCTAGAAATCTGCAGGGGCCAGCATTTACTGTCATGTATGACTTAAGAAGCAGTATAGCTCAGTATGATGAATTAGCCACAGACTGAGATGAATGTAGCTTTCCTGGCAAAAGATGTATCTAAATACAAGAGTACAAATCAGCTTAGTGCACTTAGAAGAATTCTAACTACTGCTGGTTTGTTTAAATGATACCTGTATTAGCAGTTGCTTTTTAAAAACCTAAATAAATAGGAGTATTTGATTCTTAAACATTCAGACTTGCATAATAACACTTGCGTCCCAGCTACTTGGTTGTTGATAGAAGCAATCATGGGGGCTTTGTACAGGTGCAGGAGCTTCTGTACAAACTTCCCTGCCATGTCAGAGAATGATGGAATATGTTTTGGCAGCAAAAAAATTTGAAATGAAAAAATTGTTTTCCCTTCAGTTCAAATACTTTGAATAAGCTGACAGCAGTGGACTAAGTTTACCCTCCAACATGTTAGTAAATCTGTGTTTGTTGAGCTGGACTCCTGCCCTTGCCCAGGAAAAAAAACAAAGCAGAGGGATTAAATGAGACTTAAAATCTCCCTGCAGGAGAAGGCAGCTATCTGTCTTGAAACATGCTGTAGTTTTAGCTTGATTTGGAATACCCTCCTTCCGTTCCAGAAAGGCTACCTTGGTCTCTGTTGAAATAGTTCCTTCAGTTTATTTTAGACTTCTCTTTTGCTGGTCTTTTCTCTATTGTTGTTTGATTTGGCAGGTTTTTGTAGTTTGTTACTTTCACTTATTTTTGAAACTAGATTTTGTAGATGAAGCCATATTCTTTCTATGAATTGGACCTAGAATTGGCAGGCAGTTACCCTTGCTTTTGCAGTAAGTTCACTCTGAACCACCTCTTCGGCAAGAAGTTGTGCTTCCTTCCTGAGGGAGGGGTGTCTAGGCAGTATGCTGTCGTCATGCAAAAGAGGAAAGCTAGGTTACCTTGATGATCTTAGAGATCTCTTCAAATCTAAATGATTCTGTCATTCTCTATTGCAGATGTGCCCAGTCTTAACTATCACTTTGAAAGCTTTCCAAATTAGAAATCACGAATAGCTTTCTCCTGGCTTGGCACTTGTGGCTGAGGACAGGTTTTCTTCAGACGTTGAAGTGTATCAAAACAGAAATATTTTTCATATTCTTCTCTGTCCATCCTTTACTGTAAATCAGCAAGCAGGTAGTGTGGATAATTCTCCAGAAGGCAGTTTCTTCTGGCTTTGTTTAACATCATGTTTGGTAACTCCCCAATTGGAAGACTGGTATAGACTGGTAGTGTGTTTTCTTCATCTTTTGATGCAAGATGAAGGTGTGTGTTTGTTGAGCCATGGTGATTCCCAACTGATACCTCATGAGGAATTATTGTTATTTAAAAGTATAAAATATATTTACATAAAAGTATAATAAATTAGAAAGTTTTCTGCTTCAGAGTTCTCATTGATGTTTTATGGATGCTTTCCTCATTTGCAGACATTGATTGGATTTCATACTGGCCCAAGCTCTCCTCAAAAACGCATTTTAATTCAAATATTCAACAACCAAGTTATTTAGAAATAGTGTTGGTTTTTTGTTTCTTTTGCAAGATCTGTAAGTGGCTATTGGTTTTCTTGTTTCTTAACAGGGAACATCCATAGGTAAATGTCCGAAAAACAAACTTTTCAAAGGTTATATTGAACTGGAGTTACAGTTGCGAGAATTTGATCGTTGTCGAAAGCTGTATGAAAAATTCCTGGAGTTTGCACCAGAAAACTGCACATCATGGATTAAATTTGCTGAACTAGAGACCATTCTTGGTGACATCGATAGAGCCCGTGCAATTTATGAACTGGCTATTAGCCAACCACGACTAGACATGCCAGAGGTAAGGGGGAAGATGCATTTCGCACCTTATCGTAATTTTAAGATATTCTTTACATTGTTTGACTAATTAAAGTGTAAATAATCTAACAGCCCAAAAAGATCTGCTTACAATAGTGGCCTAATCTGTCTCATTAATTTAGCACCTGTTCCTTAGCAGGATACGCAGGACTATAAAACCCATGATAAAACGTGGCAGGAGATGCACGCTTCCAAGTGTAAGCTAAATGCATTATGTGGACAAGATTTCACATGACTTGGTCTTAATTAATATTCAGATAGCTGAAGTTCATTTTTACAAAGTTCATATTTATCTATGCTCCTCTGTTAAAGAACTTCTTTGGCACTATCTCAGTGTTAAATACAGAGCTGTTGGAGGCTGTGAATGTATGGAGGGACTTCTGTTTTACAGGTTCTTTGGAAATCCTACATTGACTTTGAAATAGAACAAGAAGAGTATGAGAAAACAAGAAACCTTTACCGCAGATTGCTTCAGAGGACACAACATGTCAAGGTATGGATGGGTAGCCAGAACACAAAACAGGGCTTGAATTGGATCCCTGGTGGCAGAAAGATTTGACTGCTTTGATTGCCTGGCTTTGTGAAATTGATTGAAAACCTGAATTCAGTCCCATGTTTTTGACCTTTTAGTAATGCAGGCATTTTTTAACTTATGTATAACAGGTGTGTCATATTTAAGAAAGGAAAGCTTTGTAGAAGCCTTGCAAAGCAGCCCTCTTCTTGCTGTGCAGCTTTGGGTTTTAATTTGCTAAAACATTGCGAAGAAATACTCATTGTGATTATTTTTCCAGTGTAATTTGATGCTGTAATTTGACTAAGTTCAGATAGGTCTATCATAACCCAAAACAAGCAGTAGAAATTTGTTGAGATTGGTAACAGAAATATTCTTTCCACTTAAAATGAGGCAAATCTCACATACTTGAAACAAACATGAATTTTCTAAGCATTTGCTTATAAAAGCATGCTTTTGGTTTGTGGGTTTTTTTTTTCTTTTTAGCTGCTTTGTTTTCTTTATCACTTACCTATTCAGGGTGGAAGTTTCAGCTTGGTTTTTGATTGTTTTTAACATAGGTATGGATTAGCTTTGCACAGTTTGAGCTATCTGCAGGAAAAGAGGAGAGCTTGTCAAGATGCCGGCAGATTTACGAAGAGGCTAATAAGGCAATGAGAAACTGTGAGGAGAAAGAGGAGAGAGTCATGCTTCTGGAATCTTGGAAGACCTTTGAAGAGGAGTTTGGAACTGATAGCACTAAAGAGAGGATAGAAAAACTTATGCCTGAAAAAATAAAGAAGAGGAGAAAACTACAGGCTGAAGATGGGGTAAGAAGAAAAAAATATACAAGTAATCTTTCTGAAACCTTGGTGGCTCTCCACTGGTATCTAGAACTCAAAACCAGCTGTGATGGGTGCTGTAACTGTGTACTGATATTACTGCTGTAGTTGAAGGAATGTATTAGCAGAAGACACATCCTGCTGAATTCCTTGCCCTTCAGTAGGGTCAGTGGGCAGTTGATTCAGAATGAAATACCAGTGCTCAAGGTAGTTTAATCTAAAACTTTTATTACCATATTGCACCCATTCAGCTTGTTGGTTTTAACTGCTCTGGATGTTCTAACAAACACTGATTTTAATTTTATCTCATTTTTATGCTTATTAGAAAAACCTGCTAATAGCTAACATTAACATGCAAATTAAACCTGCTTTGTGGTGTTTTTTTTTTTCCTCCCTGTAGTCTGATGCTGGCTGGGAGGAGTATTATGATTATATTTTCCCAGAAGATACTGCCAATCAGCCTAATCTCAAACTACTTGCTATGGCTAAACTCTGGAAGAAACAGCAACAGGAGAGTGAAGCTGCAGAAATGGATCCAGACAAAGACATTGAGAGCCAGTCTTAAGGTGTTGCCTTCCCCTGCTCCTTTTCTTGGGTGTTGTACACTATTTTCAGTGGTGACGAATAAACATTCTTGAAAGGTTTTACTATTTTTGACTTAAGATACCTTTGGTTTGAGAAACAGCACCATATTGGAGATGATTCTCTTTAATAGACTCTTGATTGCCATCAACTGAAAGGAAACATCACACAGCAATCCTGGAATCCATACCAGTAGTCTGAGAACTGTAAGAAGTGAATGGCAGCTCTTGTTTTTAGGGCAAGACCATCTGTTGTAAGGCTTCTGGAAAGCTTCACAGTACTGCTTAGTTAGTAAGTGCTTAGTTAAGAGAACAGATCTACTTTCTTCAATAAGAAAGATGTCTTCAACCATTCCTGATTGATATTTTTCCAGTAATTCTGTAAAATATGTATTGTTCTTGAGGATAGTTGAAAAGAAAAACTGGTTGACTGCAACCTGTTCAACTTCCAACCAAAGTAAGCATTTATCCCAGGAATCTGGTCAGGATGGACAAGAATAGAAGCTGAATATGCTGAAACTAACCCATGAAAGACAAATTTGCAGAAATTGGTACCACACAGCTTGTCTATATTTTAGTATTTAAATATATTGGCACCATATTTTATAGCAAATAATCTATTGGGAAATAAAGTAGAAGTGTAAACAGGCTTCTTGTTCTGCTTTTTGTACTTTATAGGGCAAAAAAACATTGAGGGGAAGTTTTCTCATTCATATGTTCTTTTTTTCCTTTTTTTTTTTTTTTTTTCATTGTAATTTAAAAAATGCTCTTGTTCCACTGCAGCTGCTGCCAGGAGAGACCCAGAAAAGCCATGCAGGACTGTGTGGCTCTGGGTGGTGGTCAGAGGCACAAGGGAGAGGAAAGAAAGAGCATATTTACCTGCAGGCTGATCAATGTGGTGAGGAATGGAAGAGGCAGCAGCTGGTGTGGCTGGAGTTAGGTGGAGAAACAATGGGGTGAATACATCGAGCAAGGGGATGGGAATAAGAGACCTCAAAATGAAGGCAGAAGAATGCATTTGCTGGGGGTATGCCCATAGTTATGGGAGTGCCAAGAGAATGGAGTTGTGGGAAAGCTCTTTCAGTTTTCTTGGGTCATTTGTTGGACTGGGTGCCTATCTGAATTGCCTGCAGGACAAGCTCTATCTGTGCAATCCTCTGTTTAATCTGGAAAGGCCTTCTATCCCTGTTTTGTCCTGTGTTTATTGATCTCGTTAACTATTTAGCTGGCTGACAGAACAAAAAAGTTGTTTATTGAGGGGTTTTATCCTTGGGTTATTTGTTAATCTTTATTATTCTGAATTAAAAATTAGAAACTTGTGTTTTCTAAACAGCCGTGTAAGTTTATGCATTCTCTCTTAAAGCCTGATTATTTTATGTGAATTTTGTTGTTTTATTTGTTTCCTTTGATAGCTGCAATGCAACTGATGGTCTGATGCTGAAGTCTGCTGTATGTTTGCACCAGTTTTTCCCTTAAATCTTCTTAAAAGCTTGCCTGGTAACACAGTGCTGATTCTTTATGACAACTGATTATATCATGTTGACGTACAAGATAAAAATCTACCTTATCTAAATTTTAGCTTAATTTATATGGCTTCCTATGCCTTCTGGGCTTAAATTTTGCAAGCGTTTTGGTTTTTAATTCTTTCAGTCAGAGACAGCTGCTGCAGTCCTGCCACATCCCAGCAGCCAAGTGCAGCTCTTGCCTTCCTGGGGCTGGCTGGGCGTGCTGGGGCACCAGGCGGCAGCAGAGATGCTTTGTCTGCAGTCTTCTGTTTGTGTGCAAGTTTCAGTCTTTGTTCTTACAGAGACTGGAAAGTATTGGGAGTTCTGTATGTTCTGAGGCTTCTGCATGGCTCAAAACACTTGAACCATGCTTGAAGTCTAATGAGAACTGCTAAAGAAATAGCTTTTCTGCAGCAGTTTTTCCTTAAAATTGTGAATTGCTGCTTTTGAAAGAGCATGCTGGCAGAAAAAATGTGTGTACATCAAAAGAGAGTGGGGGGGAGAGGATCCATAGAGCAACTCTTAAAGCACTTAGGGCTTCATGATGCATATGCAGAAATAATAGCTAAAGTCTGAAATGCTAACCACCTAGATAAGCTCCTGTTGTGCAGATCTTACCTCAAGCTTTTTCTTTACAACTCACTTGAGCTGATTTAGCTGAAAGCTGGAGTGGCGTTTGCTTTCAGCTTAAAGTCAGAAGTGAATGATGAACGCTGAACAAAAACAGTAGCAAAATGATCTTTGTGCTAGTGTAGAGAGATCAGGGGGTATTTCTAATTAGTAAGGCTCACATTTGATTTCCCTGTTCTGCTTTCCCCTGTTGTGACTTCCCAGAGGTATGATGTGGACTTGTGCAGAGAAGCAAGTGAGAGAGATGGAAGTGGCATCTTCAAACCCCTCCATTTCCTCACCTTGTGCCTTCCAGTACTGTTCCACCTTTAGCTGCCCTCAATCCAAGTCTTTGGGATCTGATTTTACCTGTCCTAGCCATGGCAGAGCTGTAAGGAGCTATGTGAGGAGATGTGCTAGACATCTGCTGTGATTGGACCGTGTGGGTGAGTGGACTTCCAGACAGCCACTTCCTTCCTCTCCCTGCTCATCCATATTGCAAGCTTATCTTCCAAGAAGCAAACAGGAGGCTTTTATTCCATAGCAAGCTAGACAAAGTGTATCTTGTAACATAAGAGCAGCCAAACACTGCCATTCTCAAAGCGTGTGTTTGTTTGACACTGCATGCAAACACAGGGATGATTGGGTACATCTCTGAACTTCTTGCAGGCTTTGTTAGTAATTGTTCTGTGATGTTCTTCCCCCCCATGTAAACTCCATGTCTGGCTGAAAGACTTGGTTATAACAGTGTGTGACACCTCTCCTGACTTAATTGCTTCTGAGGTGGTGGAGGAATGTAAAACTGGCAAGGCTGAATGCTGCTGGTGCTGTGGCTTGCCTGTCCTTGGGCAGAGGGAACTCTGCCTTTGGGACCCATTTCACTCAGCCTTCAGGGAGAAACAATGTTCACTGACATCTTCCTTGCAGATCAAGTACAGAAATCTTACTGTTATGTATATGGATTGTCTTGTGAGTGCTTCCCGTTGTCCTGAGCTTCCTGACTTCTCCTATGTCTCTGAGACCTGAAGAAACATGAGTGCACTGCTCAACATTTTAACCATACTTGGTATTAGAATTCCAGCTGTTGCCTCTTGAGGATCATAGAATGGCCTGGGTTGAAAAGGACCACAATGCTCATCCAGTTCCAACCCCCTGCTATGTGCAGGGTCACCAACTACCAGACCAGGCTGCCCAGAGCTACATCCAGCCTGGCCTTGAATGCCTCCAGGGATGGGGCTCCACAACCACCTTGGACAACCTGTAAAGGATGCCTCTGTCCCTCAGCAGGCTCCTGTGTCCTGTGCTGCACTTTGGAAAATGAGGACAGAGCTGCTGTAACGTGTGTCAGAAAGTGATGGTGAGCTAAATTACAGCATGCATCCAGAAATGGAGGCTCTGTTAGAGGCTAGAATGTCATCTGCCTTCTCCCTGATTAATGTTGTCAGAGCTTCATTTTCCTGTGGAGCATCTGTCTCCTGTAATGCTCTTGGACACTGACCCCAGTGTGGAAATGCTTCCCCCATGTGTATTAAAACTGTCCCCTTTCCACAGCCACAGCTGCCTATATGGGCTGTTGATGATGTTTGGGTTTAACTGAGGGAAGAAACACTTCAGCAGGTACCTGTCCCTATCCTTCCCTACCACATTCTCCATGACAGTGCCATTCAGGCTTGGTGGTTTGTCTCAGGAAGTTGATGCCAGAGATTTTTTTTTTGAAAGATCAGGAAATCAAAGCTGTAAAACTCTCGTAGGCCGTGCTGAGCAAGAATCCACAAACCTTCATGATCACAAGGAACACAGGAGCTGCAGAAAGAGGGATTGTCTCATGAAGCCGAGCCTGCGCCACCTCTAGTGCTACTGGAGAGTCTGGTTCTGTGTTTATTCCATGGACACTGCAATGCTGGTAAAGCCCAGCTTTGGATATGTCATCAAATAAAAAGGTTGGAGAAACTGCATGTTATTAAAACATTAGCCATACCCCTATGTACCTTTTAAATTTTTCAGCATGGCTTTTGTGTTGCTGTTGGGCCACGTGACCCTTGCACATCAAAGACAATTTTAAAATGTATTCTTTGTGATCATTTTCTGACTTCAGCTTTCCTTTTTGCAAGTCTGCAAGGGTGCAGTTTGGTGATATTGAGTCTTTTTGAAGACTGTCCTCAGGAAAAAAAAAAATAAATGCCTAACAGTGCAAATAATGTTGAAGAACTGCCCCAGCCCAATTTCGGTTTCAGTAAGTGGTTCTTCACAGTTGGGTTCTGGACACTAAGTAGGATTAAGTTACTGCTGGGCAGTCAGAACAGATGCATAAGTGATATATATTTTTTTTTTTTATGGGGCTATGACACATCTCTAAAAAGCAATTAGGTTGCAGAGGAAAGCTTTGCATTCAAATTCTGGGACTTTTATGATAAAACTGGCTGTTGTTTTTCCCATGCCAGATTATACATGGCTAAAAGCCACATTGGAAAGCACACTGCACAAGGTGTGCTTTGTAGGAATGACTTCATAGAGGTCCGTGTTCCTTTGAAAAGCCTTTCAAACATCACATTTTCTAAGACTAATGCTAATGCAGCCAAGGGTCCTGGATTGGCCAACCATCTTACCGTTGAAGCGAAGCTGAAGGGAGTCAGAGAAGAGGATCCTGGTTTGCAGGACAGGGCTGTTTGAGGTAAGGGACACACTGGGTAGCACAGGGCGGCCTGTGGAGGTGGAGGAGGTCATGTTTAACAGCTGCTGAGTTCGTGACAGCTGCAGAGGATCCTTCATGAGCACCAGCCAGCCGTTGGTTTGATGGTGCTTTGGTCTAATGATAAATGACACCTGCTCAGAGCATGGAGAATGACTTCGCTCCTAAGTGCATATCCAGAAAAAGTGTGGAGGGCTTTGGGTATACGCACATAAAAATACCTATAACGGTATTATATAATATTATATCAACATGTAATTGATACTAATATGCTATATATCATTATATAATTAATACGTATATTTAAAAGAACAGAATGTCCAGGCTGGTTGGAACATACAGATTGGAAAATTAACTACAGGTCTGGAGATGTCATGCATTATTTATAGCTGCCTTGATGAGCCAGCTGCCAGCCGTTTCCTTACCACCGTCATGGCCACTTTAGCATCTGAGCTCTTCACAAGTATTTAAAAATAGAAAGAATCTTGTTCTTCCTTCTTTCTCTCCTGGTACATAGGAAGGATAATTTGATTATTTTATTAGGATTTTGTTTTATTTGTTGCTTTATGGGCTTGCTGTCTTTCCTTGTTTGGAAGGCGCTTGACGAGGTCATTTCAAGCAAAGAATTAAGTTTTGTTGTTGACCCTGAGCTGGAAACTCCTTTGGTGGAGGCCGTATCTTCTCCAAGCAGGTTGTACACAAAATCATAGAATTATCAAGGATAGAGAAGACCACCAAGATCACCAAGTCCAACCCTGACCCACCCCCACTGTACCCATGTGGAGAGATGCAGTGTGGCACACTTGATAGGGCATGAGGTAATGGCCTCACGTTGTGCCAGGGGAGG